ACTTTTATCTAAGAACTACCTATAAAATGTGAAACAGATCCCTTGTTATTTCTGGGTGGTGAGAGTTGTTAATTTTGAATCAGTGTTTTGAGATTCTTGGACTGTTTTAAAAACTTTTTAAAATTATAATTATTATTCAAGTCAGTGGCATTTTTTTTCCCCTAGAGGCAATTGTCTTAATTAGGGGGAATTTCAAAAAGCCAATTCCTTGAGCTTCTGTTGTGGCCTGGTTGAGGCAGCAAAGAGAGAAAGAAGAGCCATTTTCTTAGTATATTTTCAAAATAAGACAAATTGTTTTCTCAGTTTCTGCCGTAGCTTCACAACATGGGCTCTGGAGACTCAGATAACATGGCCTATCTATTTAATTTTCCGCTGTTTGTTCTCTGTTATGTTTAATCATTGAACAGTGGTTGGGAGTTATAAATTCCCTTTCCTAAGCCAGATGTAAACAGGAGTGACTTGATGCATAGGCAAAGCAATCTCAAGAGACACTTCAAAAGAAGTGTGTGTCCCTGGCCTTGAATGCCCTGAAGAAGATCTGGGGCCACACATCCCTGACTGTTTTCCCATTTAAGATCCTAGAAGCTGCTGTCTTTTCTTTCTGCCCCTTCTTCCCAAATATTTATTATCTATTGAATGCCTAATTGTACATTACATTCCACTAAGTTGCTATATACGAAGAGGATTCAGAGTACTATGTCACAGAAGAATTTAGAACCTCACCCCTTAGGTAAGGAAACAGTAAAGTACTACCGGAGATCTACTCATAGAGCACAGATTGTAGTCTCTGTTGACAATAAAGTGATATAAGGTAAACTCTCTGAGCAGGTCCTTTTGGGCTTTTTGTTTGTTTGTCTTTGGCAAAGACAGGTGGTACAGTGGATAGAGCACTGGGCCTGGAGTCAAAAAGACTTGACTTCTAATCCGGCCTCAGACACTGTGTGACACTGGGCCAACCACTTGACTCTGTCTTAATTTTCTCAACTTTAAAATGGGGATAATAACAGTGCCTGTTGTGAGGATCAAATGAGATCTTATTTGTAAAGTGCTTGGCACATCGTAGGTGCTATATAAATGTGTAGGGCAGCTAGGTGGCATAGTGGATAGACCTCAGGGGTGGGGAACCTTCGCCCTTGAGGCCATGTCTGGTCCTCAGGTGAGGCCCTTTGACTGAATCCAAACTTCAGGATTTGTTCTGTGAAGTTTGGATTTAATCAAAGGGCCATACCTGAGGACCTTGAGGGCCACATGTGGCCTTGAGGCCTCAGGTTGACCAAGCCTACAGTTGGAAAGACCTGAGTTCAAATCTGACCAGAGATACTTACTAGCTGTGTGAGCCTGGCAAATCACTTAACTTGTTTACCTCAGTTTCCTCATCTGTCAAATGAGCTGGAGAAGGAAATGGCAAACCATTCTGGTATCTTTGCCAAGAAAACTCCAAATGGGGTCAGAAAGAGTTGTACATGGCCACCTGATATGAAAATGGTTTGCCATCAAAAATTTTGCAGGCTTTTTTTTTTCATTTTTTCTTTCCATTTTTGTCCATAAATAGATCAGAAAGATCATAGAGTTAGCAAGGACCTTTAAAAACAATTATTAGAAAGCAATCATTTTAATTAAATTAGAAATCAGTTGTTTTATAGATGAGAATTTAAGAATTTGAAGCACAGAGTAAATTTTAAGTGACTTACCCAGGATCACACAGCTGTTAAGTGTCTAACATATGCCAGGGAAAAGTTGATTTGCTTGATGAATTAATGAATGATCTAGGTATAATTGAAGAAACTACATTCATGTAGTGGAGGAAAGCTTGTCTTCCCTAATAGCCCTGCAGGGTACATGGCTAGCTCCCTCCCAGACATAAAGACCAAGAACAAACCCATTATTAATTTTACATGAACAATTTTAAAAATTTTGGAAGAAAGTCTATGTTAATATCACCTCTCAAAGGCACTGTGTCAGTTTATGCAGTATTCCTACCTAGAGGTTGGGAGTCAATAGAAACAGGTATTTCTGGTATCTGCCTTTTCTTTAAACAGGATTTGCATAGGGGTCCTGTTGTCGGCATTTTACTAATATATAAGGGTGTGTGTACAGTGTGTGTGTGTGTGTGTGTGTGTGTGTGTGTGTGTGTGTGTGTGTGTGTGTGTGTGTTTAGGGGTCTGGTGCATGTCAGAACATGAGGCAATATGTTAAGCCTTTTGTTCTCATTTTTCCACTGGTGTATGTTTTAAGGTTGTCTTTGCTGTTTATTAGTAGTGTTATATTAATTAAAAGGGGGCGAGGATTGGGCAAAGACAGCTTATTTAATGTTGCTAAATGACTTTGAAGTTACTGGCTGGTGCTATAGCTCAGGATCAAGCTTCCAGCAGGGGTGTGTCACTAACAGGTTTTACAGAACTCATATTCCATTCTTTCCCCAAAATGACCAATGCATGTGCTTCACAAACAACCCAGGAATCTATTTAAATAGGAGGCAAATATTTTAAAAGATGAAGCACTTGATAGAGAGGTGGTGTTTGTAGTCATGTAAGAAGGATGGCTGGAATTTCTTGCCACAGCAGTGTATTTGCTGGGCTCTGTCTCCCCAAAGACCATTCTTTGTGGCTCCTGTACCTAGTCATCTGCTTTGTATGCAAAAGACCTGTCAGCCAAGAGTCCAAACAAATGGCAAATGTTATTTTCCTATCAGTGACTGTTTCCAGGAGGTACAGAAAAGGGGAAAAGCTGTAGTTTTGATTTCTTGGCTGAAAACCCATGCCACTTCAAAGCTCCCAAGTGAGTATGCAGAGAGGAAAGGGGGTGGGAAGCTTGTGGGGTAGCAAGTTTTAGCTGAGATTAAGATAGGATTAAAGCAACAGAAAACCCAAAACTAAGTAAAACTCCTCTGGGGCCCACTTTGGAAAAACTGAAACAAAAAAACCTGGAAGTTTTCCAGCATCTTATATTGCTTTTTTAAGGGAAAGAATGGAAGTTTTTTCAAGAGGACCTAAGGCAGAAAGCAACTTGCTCAATGACCCCAATTCATTTTCTGATGAATTCTCTTTCATTTTGGGCAAGAGAAAGAAACAGCATGACTAGTGTCTTACTTGTGGATGGGGAAGGGTATGTGCTAATGCACACCATTGCTTAATAGTCTTCTTTAGTTTAAGGCAGTTGCTTTCAGTTCATAATCACAGGTAGAGATGACCTCTGAGTCCAAGAGCTAGCCTTGGCATAGAACTTCTAGACATATTTCAGTCAGATTTTATAGGACTTGGCCGTGTGTCTTTCCCCATATGATCTATGTTAAGCCTGTGCACTTAATGACCCTCTTTGAACAGACAACTAGGGAGGAATCAATGGGGTTTTTAAAAACAAACACCATATCCCAGCAACTCATGTATTGTAATTCTCTTCACTCTTTTGCAGATAAATTATCATTTCCCTAATCTGGCTCTGGTACATTGGTTCAGGGCTTTCCCCTTTCACTAGGGTTGGAAAAAAACTAAAAGGAACCTTCTAACCAGCAGCATCTTTTTCACTTGTTAAATGCTTGTGAAGCATTGATGAAAATAATTCTATTGACTATAAATGACTAACATTGAAACCTGTGTTGGTTGGGGTTATCACTTAAGAATGTTTTTACCTGCTGTGTATCCCAGCTTTGATTATCCATGTAAACTGCTATTATTATCAGGGAGTGCTTTTACAAGAATATTTACTCAGAAGTGAAAGCAATAGAGAGATATAGGCATATATGTATATATGTATCTGTTACAAGTGAGTTTTACAAAAGGCAATCTGAATCCACCACATAATAATCACCAGTTCTAGACAGATTCCTGCCAAAGAGCCACAACTGTAGCGTGAGAGACAGTCCCTGACATAAGCTTCCAAACAGCTGGTCTCTGCCACAGCAGGGACAGAGCCCTAAGGAGCTTATTCCCTGAGTCGCTGTATTCTCTCCTTAGGGTGTCACCTCAGGAGTATAAGAGCTAAAAGTGTTCCTTTGTGATGGAGTGTTTTTTGGATAGAGTGAGTTCTGAGATCTAAGTCGTAAGGGTGTGTTTGGAGGTAGGGCCCTGGGTGATGGGATTATATTGGAATCTGGAACTCTTGGGATCTAAGAGAGGTGTCATCGAGAGTCTCAGGTTGTACAACAAGAGACAAATGGAAATCTAGTTCTTTGCTTTCTCAGGCTTTATACGTGCACCTGCCTGTTGACACAGTTGTGTTGGATGCAACTTCCCACCATTCCCTTCTGTTTCAGTCCCAATCATGGTCACACAGGAGTGGAGAGAATGAAGAGAAGTCCCCAGCATCTCTTCATACATGTATAACATTTATACATCTGTTGCAAACACAAGCGGCAAATAATTATTTGTGGAATTATACACTTTCTTCTATACTGTGTGTTAGATTTTGGGAGCTAGCCTAAGAATTTAATATAGACAATTTCCATGTGTTGCTATGTATTTGATTTCATGATTTGTCTGGACCCACATAGAACTATCTACTAGAAAGTATGTAAGAGAAAGGGCTAGGAAAACTCCCCCTCTTCCAGGTTATTAGATGAAGTGTCTTCAGGTGAGTATTATTTGTGACTATATGTATTTCCAAATTGTTTAAAGTTTGGGTTACTGTAAGTGTATTTTATAAAAATATAATCTATATGTACTATACACATGTATTTTTATTATAAGTCATTACATAAGGAGAAATTTTAAAGTGACCATTTGTTTTTGTATCCATGAATAAATATGTCCAGATTCTTTCCCAAAAGTCTCTCTAAAACAAAAAGGTCTGATTCCACTCTTGTGACAAGGAAATATCAGGCTGGAGTACTGTCCTCATTCCAGCTAAATCACATAGACCTCTCTGATTGGATAACAGGAAATAACCGCAAGGTTTGAGCTTCCGTGTAAACAGATGTGCTTTTGGGGACCCTGATCAGTATGCTTTACGTAATTATTCTCATTCATGACTCAATTCTTAACTGTGCTTATTCTTTTTATAAGTGTTAGAAAGGAAGATATCCACAAGACAAAGTAGAGAGGAGCTGATAAGAAGGGGAGTGCTTAAGGAATTGCCTGATCAAGGTGAGGAAATTAACACCATAAATTAAAAATATTGTCGTCCTGAACTCTTTGATGCTTTCTTTCATTTCTGTGAATATTACATCTACACTAGCCACAGTCAACAAATTAAACAGGAACTCCATCAATCACTCGGTCAGTGAATAAACATTTATTAAGCACCTACCATGTGCCAGGCACTATGCTAAGCACTAGGGATACAAAAAAGAGGACTCTTGCAATTACACCTGAACAGTCTGGAAAAACAAAAGTTCATAAGAGGTATGAAATCCTAGACTGAATCAGAGGCTGTCACATTTTAGTCTAAACTCAGAGATCTGCAAAGAGATCTCCAGATCTCTGGAGAGGAACGTGTAGGGGACCACATTTCCTTTAACTTCTTCCATCTTCTTCCTGAACCGACTCTAACATTCTTCAGGAAGCAAAATCAATGGCTTGGAATATTGAGTATCATTCAACTCAGTTGTTTCTTCCAGCTACCAAATAGAGACAGACAGGTTCCCTCCTGTCCTATTGTACATGCATGTAACCCAAATTCTCTGTTCCAGACAAACCAATAAAGCATGAACAAGGATGGAAACAAACTTTAACTTCTTGATTAAACAATTCTCTTCTCCTTTGCTTTCTAAACTTGTTTGCCCTGATCTGTTTTCTCTTGATGCATCTGCTCAGTTGAGAGATTCTTTTTTCTTACCATTCACTAACAATTGTCATTTCTAAGTATTTTTCTCATTTCTTTACATAAAGTGTTTTGTAGACCTTAAAAGGCTTATATACATGTTAGCTCTAACCATTGCTATAATTCTAATCAACTTCTTTATTCTTTCTGGCAAGAGGCTCTTATTCATTAGGCAGAAACTGAGTTAGAAGTTTAAGGGCAGCTAGGCAGTACAGTGGATAGTGCACTGGACTTGGAATCAAGAAAACTCATCTTCCTGAGTTCAAATCCGGCCTCAGACACTTCCTAGCTATGTGACCCTGGGCAAGTTACTTAACCCTATTTGCCTCAGTTCCACATCTGTAAAATGAGCTGGAGAAGGAAGCAGCAAACTATTTCAGTATCTTTGCCAAGAAAACTGCAAAAGGGGTCACCAAGAATCAGATGCGACTGAAACAACTCAACAACAACCACAAAAGTGCAGAAGTAGTTTTTTCTGTTACTTCTCCAAGCCAACTGTAGTGAATTTTTTTTCCATTATAACCATGAGGAATTTTTAATAGTACAGTGCTGGTTCATCTAATCTCACTTTCTTCCTTGTTTCCTAACTTTTGCTATAGTATATCCTCATTATTCTACTTTATTAACAAGGGATTATTATATATTTTGAATGTTTCATAATAATAGTATTCCTTCATCTATTAAACACATTCCATCAGAGGTGTTTATGGCATTTTTTTCTGAGAAGCCACTTGAACAGAGATGATATGACCTTTTTAAGGTTGTAGTGATTAATAGTCATAGTAGTATAGCTGAAAAGGAAAAACCAGCTACTGGTTGTGTACTTTCAGGCCTTTTTCAAAAGACATGGCAAGCATATTTTGAATAAAATAATGTCGTTTTCTCAGAATTCTCACAAATGTAGATATTATTTTTTCATTTGAACATCTGCCCTACCAAGCTTTTTGTTAATAATAGTTATGAATTAATTCATATCATCACTAACTTCTTAGTACCTTTCAAGCCATGTTTTCTCCCATTATATCCTACAGCATCAGTCTATCAGGGACAAAACAAACCATCCTGAAATAGTAATGGTAGGAGGTGTTCCTCTAGCATTAAAAAAAAATCCTTCAGTAGACTATTCAGAGTGACTTTTGTGATCTTTTTGGAGGCGTTGGGAAGAGGGAGTATTTTCAGAGTGCAAATTAAGAATCCATTTTATAATGTCAACTTTGAGCTATTAATTTTATCTGCAAAGTCAAAACATCTTCCCTTTGTGCCTTTTTTATTTATAAATCTCTAAAAGGAAGACAAAAATTAGAAAATTTACATTTCAAAGAATAATCATCCTATGTGCGTAAAGATTAGAAAGGCCACATCTTTTTCTTTTTTTCAGAAGAACAGCAGATAAATGGGGAGAGAATTGACTTTTTTCAAAAACAGAATTTCAAAGTATCAGTTTAAAACTGAACTTAGCATACGTTTGGTTTTTGTTCTCCCGTATCGATGGTGATGTTTGCTTGATTGACGAAGGCCTTTTGGGCCAACTCATACTTATTTCCCAGAAAGTTTTCTTTGTTTTGCTTTTCCCTTTGAACTTTTGCAGCTGAATATTAAAACACATAAAGAGAATTCCCACCTAAAAAAATCATAAGCTGACGTTAGAACCGCCAGAGAAATTGCTGGTTTACTCTAAACTTCTTTTCTATGCATATAAACTCAGGAACATATATTCTATAAAAGATTACCTCATTCCTCAAGGCTCCCTATGGTGACTGGAACGAGCATCAGCCTCCCAATTTTCAGCCAAGTACTTGAGAAAGGAGTTTTCTGTCATCTCTCCAACAATAATTATCTTGAGAGTTTCAATCTGTTTTTAACTCTAGCCCAGAAACTGGAAACTGTTCACTGCTTGGTTAACAGCCTCTTCTTTTCAATGATGAAGACTCACTCACTTACCTTGATTTTCTTGACCTTCAAAAGCACTAGATATTATGAGAAAAGTTTGCCCTATAGAGGTTGTGGGATGGGTGTAAAAAAAAGTTCCCTTTGCTAAACTTGCTTAGCTGCTATTTCTTGATGCTTCAGCTTGGGGAGTTTTTTCGAGAAAAATTCTTCCACAAATCCTAAAATGTTTAGTTGTCAATCATCCCTTTGAAAAATATCTAAGGTGGTCTCAGTCCACTACCTTTAGTGCTTTTCTTCCCTATTTTGTCTTAACTTTTATACTGGAAACACTCATGTGTGATTTTTAACCTCTTGAATAAATAATTCTCTTAAACAAATACACTTCTCTTCCCACCTCATGCATATGTCTAGTATCAGAAATATGGAAGAATGAATCTCTTCAAGTGCCATCACTCTATGCATAACCCCTTACTTAAACATTATTCATGGTGTGGTGTCAAGATTTAACCTAAGCTCACACACTTGAGTTTATAATTTTCAGTTTCCTATGGATACTAATTCTCTTCAAAGATTGGCCCTGTGACACTGTCAACTCCTCAAACAAGCCTTTTACTTTCTTTTACTTGGAATTTCCTTTCCAACTGATGCTTTATCTCCTCTTCAAATTGCAGCACATTTAGAATGCAACTTTACATTTTTCTCAACTCCTCATTTTTCTTGTATATGTAAAACTACTTCAATAACTCCTTTATTTCAAGTTCTAAAATTGCCTTCATTTTTTTTTAAGGATGAAAATTTAGTTTACATGCTCTTATCATATGCAATAGCTTTTATTTTCTAAGTTAAAAATAAACCCTTTCCCAAACCCCACTCTAATGTTTCACTGTGGTATGGAACTGACCCTGGATTCTTAAAAACTATGCCAGTTACATACAAACTCTGTCAAGTTTGATCAAACTGGAATGATGTTGAATATGAGTACAGAAATGAAGTCTCTATACGGTCTGAAGAAGACCAGTCTACCAAGAGACAGAGAGGTTCTTTACTATAAAATAATGAGGTTTTGTTTTTTATAGTCTTTAGTCAAGCTTTAGTTTTGTGTGGCCCTCTTGTGCTTCCACAGGGACATTGGCAAAGTGGCATAAAAGAAGATAGAAAATACTAAGAATCACACAGTTCTTTGATCAATTACAGACATTAACAATTATTGGTTCTCTTAATGTACAGTCTGTGGGCAGTGACTAATAAGCTGTCCCACCACTGGAGAAACTGACATTCTTGATTTAAATTAAATAAGACATGGAGAAGTTACAGCTAAATGAAAGTTGGATTTACAAAATTTCTATAAAAGAAGTCAATGAAGGAGTTAACACAGTTGACTTTATTATGTGCCCCAAAGCAATAAGAAATGATACTTCATGGGACACTTAGCTGTCTCTCCGTTTGTAGTACTTATGTTGAGTATAAGAAATAAACCATGATGAAGATATTTCTAGCTTATGAACTAATATCCATTGCAGAGAACGAAGTAGAGAAATTCTATGAATAATTTGATAAGATGTACCAAACTAAGTCAATACATACCTTGATATTTGGTAACTTTAATGCAAGATAGGCAGAGAACAGCAAAAATTGTACTGGATATTTTGGACCAAGAAATGAGAGACTAAAGGCTGACAAGCTACTCAAAAATCTCCTCGTATAATTTGAATCAAAAGGCTCAAGAAGAGAATTAGCTGTGTGCAAAGACAGATCATCAGTTGATTAAAAGTCAAAATCTGACTGGACTTGAAGAAAGGCTATTGATTTTGCATGTGGTCACAGCATTTCCAAACCAAAATACTTAAGCATTGTACTCTGGAAAAAAAAATGGGAAATAAGTAAAATTAAATAGATTGACTGTCACTATTTCTTTAAAAAGTTTAATAGATGCAAAAGTTACCACAAAAGGAAGCCAGAAGGACCCAGAAACCATGTAAGCCAGCAAATACTTGATTTTTTTTTTTGCCAAGTAAAGATACACATCAGGAAATAGCAACATTAATTTAGAGTATAAGATGAGGAGGAGTGAGGATTACAAGCAATATAAAACAACAAAAAGTCAATTAAGGAGAAAAGTCTATAAGGGTTTATCATAGGATTCAATTGTCATTATTTTGAGGACATTTTCGGATGACACTATATAGAAGAAAACAGTGTCAAATGAAAGAAACCTGTTAATATTTCTAGAGTGATTTATTATCAAGAACACAAGGGGAACCACCTTCAGAGTCTATCATAGAAGTACCCATTGTATTGTGAACATGGACAATGGCATTTATGAAAATGAAGACAGAAATAACTGCTGGACCTAATAGTGCATCTGAGTGTAATCCATGCTTGAAGTGACAATTTTAAAAATATGAAACGATTGATTTTTATGCTATCTAAAAGCATGACCTCTAAAAGAATAGAAAAGATCTCATATACTATCACCCCAAAAGAGAAAACCAAGAAGACATGAGCAACTACCAACCCATACGTGTCTACATTCCCATCTTGATGAAATCTTTATGAAATTCTTCTTTGCACATAGAGGATATGCTAAATGAAAATATGAGAATAGGCCAGCTTTCACAGATGACTTTTTACAGCAGATCATACTTTCACAGTCACAACTGATAGCTTCTAGATTTTTTTAAAAGCATGGAACTTAATAATATAAAACAACATCAAGCAATGCATAAAATGGAAGTATGCTCAATGTAGCAGCATAGGATCATAAATGTACAGCAGGAAGGGGTCCCTAGAGACTATATAGTCCAACTTCTCATTTTCCAGATGAGAAGCTGAGGCCCAGAAAGGATGAGTGACTTGCCTAAGGTCACACTATAGAAAGGGTCCTTGCTTGCTTCCTTCCTTCCAAGCAGCAGAACTGAATAGGAGATTAGGCAGTGCTCTGTCTTTTTTTTTTTTAATTGAGATGCTTTCAATTTTTCCAAACTACTTCCTGCTGTAAAAGCCCAATTTTTAACACTAATTTCCCCCCAATTCTATATGACTGCAAATCATAGAACACTAAAATCTCAGAATTAAAGCTAACTACAGGTAACCCAAAAGGTAGATGGAAAGACACATGGCAAATGAAGGTAAATTGCAGAATATTACCAAGGGTGACTTGCATAAAATGTGTGACATAAAAGATATCTTCAAAGATATCTATGAATGCAAAAGGATATGGGCTGGTCCCATAATGATGGTAAGCGTTAGTGGTTTTGCAAGCTGAATGTTCTACTGATATCTAAAAGTTAGTATCTTTTCATTTCATTGAGCCTTTTATGTCACATGTGAATACTAATTTTCCTTGCCAAGACATCTTAAATTTTGCTCCATTTTTTTTTGTTTCTAAATTTAAATACCAGTTATATAACTCTCTGAAGGAATCTGAATTATGGTTTGAATGTAAGATATGTAAAGTTCAACAAAGTTAAACAGTAAAACAGCTTCCACATTTTTTTTTGCACTAACCCAAGGCAAAGAAAAAAGAAAATAAGGGCAATTCATTGCGTATAAATGAATTACTTTCTGGAGCTACCCAATCATACAGAGTGAAAACCTGAGTTTGTAAGCCAACACAAATATATTTGAGGGATATTTTTCTCTTCCCCATTTGAATTTTTCATTTCTATATCATTTATCTGGAGTCTAGGTAAAAATATTTCATTGTGTCTACTTCATTAAAAAATAAGGATCCAATATTATAAAACCTTATTTATGCTTTCTTATCCTGATCACATTTTTCAGTTTTTAGCCTTAACTTGAATAAATTTATATACAATGATTCTCTTTTAATTTTATTCTGGCCCCAGATTATTTGTACTTACAAGTTATACATCTGAATAATGAATGCCTTTTCATTTCTATTTTTTTCATTCATGGTATGATTTCCCGGTATAAATTTCATTTTCATTTAATAGCATTCATGTTTTTATCAAGAAGACCAATTAACATAACTGTTTGAGGCAAGGTAGCCTAATAAATTATACATGAAAGTTTAGGAATTAATCACTATTTCAGGGTAGATTATTTCTAACATGGGAGTATCTAAGTTAGAATAAACACAACTATAGGAGATAATGCTCACTAGCTTTTTCACATTTACTCAATTAAAGCCATTGATGATAAGACAATTTTTTCCCCAAAAATTGAAAGTCAAGTTTTACTTTTCCTTAGGCTGACTGGTTCCCACTCCCCACCTTCCCACTTGGTGCTTCTGAACTTACTGCAGACACATGATCAGCTTGAGCCCCACTGAAGCTCAGAACTCCTGAACTCAGGCAATCCACTAACCTCATTCTCCCAGGCAGCAAGGATCACAGTTGTGTGCCACCTCTACTGTTGGGCACAGACTCTTAACCTTTTTTTGTGACATGGATGCTTTGGTCTGTCTGTCTGTCTATCTATCTATCTATCTATTTATCTATCTATCTGTCTAGACTTATAGACTCTCAGAATGTTTCTCAATTCATAAAGTACATAGGATTACAAAGGAAACCAATTAGATTGTAATATAGTTATCAAAATATAAATCCCAAATTAATAACCCCATATACAGATTTATTATGTCACCTTTTTGGCAAAACTCCTGAGATCCTTTGCTTTGGCTTTTTTCCCCAAGTTCTTTCTTCAGTGCCTGTTATATAAGAGTTGAGTTGAAGTTTCTATCTATATTTGTACAGAGCATTGTCACACCCAAATGGAACATTAAAATTTAGAATTTCTACCACTTGATTTTTCTCATAGAATTAGAAGTAGTTTCTGTAAAACACCAAATTTTTCCATTAAAAAACTAGGTGAGTTCCTACAAAATCTAATTCATTGCATGAAATCTACAAGACTTAGAAGTAAAGGCTACCAGAGTCATCTTGGTCTATCAAATTCCATCTTTTCAAAGTGTTTACAATAGTTGTGGATTCTTTCTGCATTTAACTCTGACCTAGTACATGGTAGATTAGTGGTCTATTCTTGCTTAGAACACATTCATGCTGCCCAGATGTTATTATTTTCTTTTTTATAAGAGAGGAAATTCAGGTAGACATGATATAACATACCCAGCGAATAAGTAATAAATATGGATCTATAACCTAAATCTTCTAACTTTGAAGTCAAACCTTCTTCAACAGGAAAGATGCTCATTCTTCTAATTAGATTTACAGCTTTTCATTTTCGATGGAAGTTAAAAAATTCTCCTCGTACACACTCACACACACAGAGTGTTTTTAAATGGTTATATCTTTTGGGGACCTTTTGGTTCTTGTAAACAAGTAGTGGAGCTAACAAATCACAGATCTAACCTCTCAAGGTATGCAACCTGGAAATTACTCTTTGACACTCATGACTCTGCTAATTTCTAGGACTTATTCTAAACAATTTGGCATCAATGTTGTTTAGATTGAAAATCCTGGATGAAGGACTTGGATTGTAGATTGCCATTCTATTCTGGATAGTTTACTTTGGTTTTACCTGCATATGAGTGAAAAGCTGATGATATCTACCTTGAATCTCTTTTGTTCCATTTCAGTTTGTACATTCTTTTTACTTACTGAATGACAGTCAGCTTTGATTAATTTTATTCTTTCCTTAAATCTACTAAGCTACTAAACTAAAGTGGCAGAGAAAGCCTTATGGGCTTTACAGTGATATGCTATGCCAGTAGAGAAATGTTAAAGAGTGTACTTTGAATTTTCATGTTATACAGATAGTTTGGAATCAGACACAATTTTTAAAAAAATTGATGTTTTCCCAACATCTCCATGAATAATAATATCAAAATTAAGCCCACAAACTCTTTTTCCTCTGAATCAAGGATTTGGAATGTGGGGTCAATTGAATTTCTTATTTTTGCATTTTGAGAACTGCATTTCAATATAACTTATTTCCTTTGTAATTCTATTCATTTTATTTTAAATATTTAAAAACATTATTCCAAGAAGAGATTCATAAGCTTCAACAGAGTGCCAAAAGGACTCTGACACAAAAAAGATTAAGAACCCCTGCCCTAAATTACCTCAATTCTTGAAAATATCTACAATTAAATTGATGTGAAGATGCCCTCTGTCAATGCAGATATGCAGTTCACCTCTTTCTCCCTCCTCTCTTTCTCTCTCTCTCTCTCTCTCTCTTCTCTCTCTCTCTCTCTCTCTCTCTCTCTCTCTCTCTCTAAGACACACACACACATACACACACACTCTCTCACTCTCTCTTTTTGTGTCTCTGTTTTTAGTTGCTGTGGATAAAAAAAACCATTGTGATGACTTGGTGAACAACTTTTTTGTCATGATTTCCTGAACACTCGCCTAGACTTCTCCATACTCTTGCCTGTCACTAAACCTCTCCAGTTTGGTAGGAATTGTTACAGCTTGTACTCAGATGGTGTAGTCGTCAAGAATCCAGGGTCCTCTCCATACTACACTGAGATACTGATGTAGGACTTTAGCTCACACAAATAATAATTGTGTTGGTGTGCAAGGCTGTCAGAGAAAACAACCCTAATAGATTGCAGAAAGTGCTGTTGGAAAGTGTTCATGTTTTCCCACTGATAATTTGTCTGCCGTCTCCTCTTGCTATTGCTATTTGCATTTGTGTTGTGTGTTTTAATGTTGATTAAAATATGTTTACTGCATTTTTCAGGTTATTGTTTTTACCCTTCCATTCCTGAGTGAAATAGTTTAATAAATGATAGGTATTAAAACATCTAAGCTGGAGGGAGCATCCTTCTCCAAAAATGTTTATAAATAGGATATTTCCCCAGTGATTTATAATGGCTTAGATATCATCTTTCTAAGAGCTATGATTCTATAGCCTTTCTTCTATTGCCTGAACTTTTTAGTAAGACCTAATAAAATAGTAAAGATTTTTCTCTTTTTCAGGGGACTTTAAAATTCCCCAAAGCCCTATACTATTATGCCAAAAAACTGGAAAAGCTGATTCTTAAGAAAGCTGTCAAGTTAGACAACTAGGTGTTTCTTTCCCCATTTTAGATGGAGATGTAACTGTAAACTTTGAAAATTCAAACGGGCACATGATACCCATCGGAGAGGAGGCCACACAAGAGGAAAATATAGTAAAGTCTGAAGAAGGTAATGGCTCTTTGTCTGAAAAAGCAACAACTGTGGAAGAAAAAGCAGAAGATAAGAAAGGTAAACTAAAAAGAAACTCAAGTCCTTTTTCTTTAATACTGCTCAACATTGAGCACTAAGTCTTAGGTTATTGGTATTGCCTCTAAGGTCAGTAGTGCCTCGTAAAGCAAGAGCTGGCTAAAACCTAAATAGAGAGAGAGAGAGCAGATAACTAGAGTTTAAGTAAAAGGACCTCATATATAGCACATGAAGAAACTCCCCACATAGTTCCGTATGTTTCAAAATCAAACAATAATCTTTCTTACCAAAGAGAAAGTTCAGAGTAATTTAGTTTCTTTAACCAGTATCAGCATACTGGGAATAATATCCTTAAAATACAGCCTGGTTTGGGTCAATGGTTGCTGCTACTTGTGCCCCTTATTCTAGAAGCTTAGAAAATCATTTTTTTCAAAAATTCTGATAGTGTCATCTGAAGAGGTGCTTGTACCACAAACCCTTTAAGATGCTATGCCTAGAGGCATTGGCACTCAGAACTGCATATTTTGATGCCAGAGTGAAATATGAAAATTTTACATAATACCCATAATATACATAAAACATCTGTTTGCTGCCTTCTCAATAATTACAGTCTCTGTTGTCTTCATCATTCTTATATCTGCTGATCTGAACAAGAAATCTAGTGAGTGAAGCTTTGTTGTGAGCCTGAGTGAGTCCCGACACAGCTCAGCAAGGGACTGTCTCAGGAACAGCAGATTGATTGCCTTCAATTCTGGAAGGCCTACCAGTCTTCTTTAAACTGTTCTCTGGGGGCTAAGTGGTAGCAACATGCCAAATGAGGCTTGGGCCAGAGTTGCTCTATAGCAATCTCAAGAACTGAGTGCCCAGGTTGTCAACTACTTCACTCCAATGCCTGCTACTGCAGCCCTTGTTCCCCTTTGTGGGCTACTAAATATATCTTCTTAAGATGAGGTGAAAAGGGTGAAAAAAGCAGAAAATGATATCTAGATCTAAGGCCTTAAAAAAAAATCTACTTATTTTATAACCTCCTCTCAAAATAGATTTTCTAAACCAAAGGGGAGTCTTTGACGGTTCCTTATCTAAGACTAAACTTTACCTTAAACATAAACCTAAACATAGAGGAAGGGTCTGTGACTTTGTTGGAAATTAATCACTTCATTTCATCCTTATGTATCAAGGGCAGTTTTCTCAGTCTCTCTCAGATAATCTTAGAGACAGAATATGAGACTTTCAAAAACAGTAAAGGACAGTGGAACACAAAGAGTTAAAGCAGTCTAAGGTAAACAGTTGATAGAATTCTCCCAATTGAAATGTGTAACAGCATATTATTTTTTTTAAGTCCAATTGTCGTGTGCTACCAAACTGTTACACTTCAAATCCATCTGTGACTTGTCTACTGAGAGATAATTTTCACATTCATGAGGTATTTCCTTCATTACATAACAATGTCATCTTTAATGCTTACAGAGTTGTTGTGTGGTGTCAGTATTCCAACTGGCTTGTCTTCAAAGGAAGCTTTTCCTTTATCTCAACATAATGAAAAGTTGCTGACAGCATTGTGTAAATTAGATTTCTGCTGCCTTGACTTTCGGGGGGGAAATGGCTTCACTTCATAGGTAGATAGAAGGATATTTGGTCATCTCTTATACCTGCATTGTAGTTCAGTCCATCTTGACCCTCAAAGAGACCAAGGTTGTATCCTAAACTTGGTTTGTTTGTACACAAGGAGCTAAAATCCTGAATAAATTGGTGAACTATGAAAAAGAGAATAGGGGGCATTCTTTTTACGCTTTGAACACTAGTTAAAAAACAAATTCACCTCTAAATGGTGTTAATTTACTCCGTGTTTTGGGGCATCGGCACTATGCTTCCTTTTCAGCTTAAGCAAGGTTTCTCCAGAGTATGATTTGTTTATCAGCTAATAGATGTATTAGATTCACTCAACTGTGCCTTGTGCTTTTAAAGCCCTGTACGTAAATATCTCAGTTGAAGTATTTAAACCATCACTGTCAAGTGGGAAAAGAGGTGGCATTTATTTTATGTAAAACTGGATGGGTTGTTTTCACTCTCTTCTGGGATGGATGTCCTAGTGCAGTGATATTGGAGATAGTAGATAACTTGGAGGCTTTTAAACCACATGAAGTTCCTTTTTTTTTTGTGAGGCAATCGGGGTTAAGTGACTTGCCCAGGGTCACACAGCTAGTAAGTGTCAAATGTTTGAGGCCAGATTTGAACTCAGGTCCTCCTGACTACAAGGTTGGAGCTTTACCCACTGTGCCACTAGCTGCCCCCCACATGAAGCTCTTTCGAATATCCCTTGTAGCTCTTGAATATTTCTTATTTCCACATTGGAGTATTCTTTTATGTCAGAGAACCTCTAGAGCTGCAGTTCTTAAACTTTTTTTTCTGGCAAGGACCCCTTTGGTAGTTTGGTGAAACTTTTGGACTCAAAACAATATTTTAAAATACATAAAATAAAATACATAGGGTTACAAAGAAAATCAATTATGTTGAAATACAAGTATCAAAAAAAAATCTAATTCCTGGCCCCCAGGTTAAGAAACCTGTTCTTTAGAGTAACGTAGGCAAGTGGTGGTTATGTAGCTCCTTTGGCTGGCAAGCAAGGGCTCTAGAGTTACTTTGATTACCACTGCCTTAGTTTCTAGAAAGCTGTCAGTCCACTACCATTTTTCTCAACAAGTTCACTTTAAAATTGTTTTGTATAGAGGAAAAATTGGTATACAAGCTGCCAAACAAAATTTGGTCTTATATATCAGGAATCTGAAATGACTTCTCCTCAAGACTAATTGATATTTTGAAGGAGAAGTCTCAGTCTGGAAAAGGGGAGGATTTGCCTTCCATATACATTGCTGATAAGTACAGGTGGTCATAGCTATAGGTTGTGGAACCCCTTATACCTTGTGTTAAAATGATAAAATTTCAGACAACCAGTTTATGTGATGTCACTAGATCTGTGTGACTATAGAATAAGACAATAAACTTTTAATTTATTTGTTTTCAAGGCTGATAGATTGATTTTTCCCCTTTAATTTGGTAGGCAGCAACTCTTTAGCCAGTCAACAGTATTCTCTGGATACTCATGCTAGTCTATTACATTTGCATCTTGCCTCAGACTACTCTTATCTCTTGATGGGTTATACAAGAAATAGAAGACTGGCCTTTCTCCTCTTAAAAAAAAAGAAAAAACAAACCATTACACATGCTAAAATACTTAAGGACAATAATAGTGCCAGCATAAACATACAAGTGAATGCAGTATAAGCTGAGCAGTTAACTGTGTAGTGACCCACTGTAAAAGAGTAAAGTCACAGACTCCACTTCTGATGAGCCTATGGGGACTTTCAACATTGGCAAACCTAGGGTAGTTTGTTTACTTTTTTCCCAGTGGGGATTGTGATTCCCGGATGCTAAAGAGCAAGTGGTCTCCTTGTTCCCAAACTACAAAGTCTACTTTGTCGAGGATATGACGTTAAAGAAATAGCCTCTGGCGATGAACAGATATCCCACGAGGGGAAAGATCAAGGTTTTAAATATGTAGTGAAACTTGTTATGAAGGAGGATTTGCTTGCCTTCAATTCTGCATTAAGTCTGTGTGGTATTCAGCAGCATCACTGTCGTCAATAACAAAAGTTTGGTGAGCAGTTTTTACAACCTAAGCACCCTGTGAGGTACTGCCTTTGGCAGTCTGGATACTGAGAGGTATTTGATACAGTCTCTATCTCCAATTCAGCAAGCATTTAATTACCTGCTATGCCTTGGGTCCTAAACTGGGTACAGGGGATACAATAACAAAAATAAAGCAATTTCTGTCTTCAAGAAGCTTACTGAGGAAAGCATGTATACAGAGAGGTAAATACAAATTATATACAAGATATGAGCATATAAGGAATGGAGGGAAAGAGTCCTAACAACTGTCTTATCGAGTCCAGGAGATAAGATACATACTTAGAAAGACAATAATACCAAGTTACCCAATTCTTTCCACATAGGCAGTCTGTAAATAAGTGTTAGACTAGTTTGAAGGAAGTAATGATCACCATGAGCTGGTGTAGTCAGTGAAGGCCATTAACTGAATGGCTATGGTGTTCAGAGCACTCTTCTATGCTTCTGTGTGAATGGAGTAGGTGGATGGGGGATGGGAAGGGGCAGGGACCACTGGTGCCAAAGAAATAAAAATCACCAATATATGCACTTTAAACAAAGTTCTCTTATTAAAAAATTTCTGGTCTTAACAGTCATTGAAAGTCAGAGCCTGTGAAGGCATGGTGTCATAACAATATGTTTGTCTTTTATTAGATTTCATTGTGAACTAAATCCTGTTTAGCCCTCTGGTTCAACTCTTAATGAGTTTTAATATTATAAACAGCTAAGGCTAAGGAAAAGTCTAGTGAGTAACCCAGAAGCAGATTGAAGAGATCATTTTCAGGGACTCCTTTACGAGCACCAAAAGACTGATCTTCTTTCCACTTAGATTCCATTAATGCATTTCCAGAGGTTGTTATTTTTAAATGTCATCTTTTTTGTATGTGCATCTTGCCCTACTGTCATCCCTAAATGGTCTTACTCTGCAAAACAATCAAGGTTGGAATCCAAGCTTGCCGTTTCTGTGCCTAAGCACTTTCCAAAAGAGTCAGAAGAGGTTACTCTGCAAGGGGAAGGGAGGGCTGGCATGCCAGAGCGTATGTGGAAGCCCTGCAAGTGAGGAGTTGTTTATTCTTAGCTGCACAATGCCAAATCTAATACAGAATATGGAGTCTGCCATTCCTTAGGGAGTTATTGATTTTTGACACTGCTCTTTGTACTGGAGACCAGGACGAGACTGAGCACAAATCATTTTTAGGTACATCTGGCTGTTGTTCTCTCCAGCAGATGTAAATGCCTCAGAGGAAAGTCCTTGGTGGTACAAGCAAAAGGCTTGTTGCAAATCAAAGTGCAGCAATGTCACAAGCCATAACAAGAGGAGGGGTCATTGCTGCTGCTGTGGAGTGCTTATTCTAAATTTCCAACCTACATGCTACCAGCAGGGCTGTGGCATTATTGCAAATAATCCTCAACTCTATATGGACACCAAATATTGTCATTTTTATTTCATAGAGTTCCAACAAAATATGCTCCGTGCATGGTGGGTTTTTTGTCCATGGTTCTGTATTATTACTGCTTTTTTTTTGTCTGTTAGGAAAAATAAATACATTTTCAGGCCTTTTGGAATGAAATATGATCTTTTCATCATAGCCTTTTGCTATTACGTATTTTCTTTCTCAGCAAACATTAATGGCATAACTATTCTCATGTGGGAACCAGTGGAATATCTTGATGATAAAAGCTGAAAACAGCTGGGAACCACTGGTCTGTAGTATACTTATCATACATCAAGATGTGTTTTTAATTTTTATTGGGGCAGGGGGAGCGTTATTCATAAAATTCAAAATAAGTTGAATGTGAATGTGAAATACTCCATGAGTGAATCACTAGTACTTTGGGTGATATAGTTTAATTTATACCTAATCTTATCATAAAAGTTTATATAAATCCTCACAGTAACATGATGAGAGGAATTTGGTAAGTAGATGGCTTTCCTACTTTTATCCAGAGAGAAACTGAAGTACCCTGGGAACGAACTATAGTTTCCTTTGTCTTCTAAGTGTTTGTTCTTGTCCCATACATTGCCTATTGTAGAAAAAATACTTCTTTTTGGCTCCCCAAAGCCAAATAACACCATCTAGCTGCCATTGTCTGTCTTGTTTATTGTTTTTATGTGACCTGTGTCTGTATCAGTCGGCTTCTGTTCACTTTCTCATTTGTAGAAAACCCAGAAAACCACTCTGAAACACCGGCACACCTACTTCCAGCTCCTCCTAAGCCCAAGCCTAAACCTAAACCTAAAAAAACAGCTGCACCTCCAAAAGGGGCAGCTGCTATACAGGCAAGCCACAAGGGTGATGAAGCGCCACCCAGTAAAAAAACTACCAAGGCACCTGGTAAGCAGCCCCCCATCCCTCCACCCAAGCCGACAAGCCGAGGGCTGAACCGAGAGGTCGGTGAGTACTGCCCCTTTTTTGGTGTGGATGGTGTAGTGTACATGCATGCCTGGCTCTCAAAAGGGTCTTGGGGTGCTTGGCCCTGGGTTTGGCACTAATTGTCTCCTTTAAAGGTAATGGACTGGTACATTTAAGCAAAATGACAGTGAATTCAGTTGTTTTGAACAAAGCAATAAATTTGTAATTTTCTTGAAAGTGAAATGATTTTTGTTCTGCAGGCTAGGAGATGTAAACTAATATACTTGAGTTTGCCTAATTACCAGTCCCTTATATTTAAATTCTAAGCTAGAAGGTATGTAGTTTGCTTGTCTTTTCTTTGAAAATATTTTCATTTCTTCCATGAAAACATGACCTCCACAGTATAATCTTATTAATTTTACTGTCTCAAAATAATGAAATTAAAAATTCCATGATATATACAAACCCTCTCCGTACTCTTTTTTGGGTTCCATGTAGTTCAGATTCTCTTATTTAAAAGCATGCAAGTCTGTTGCTAATAGACTTTCTTGCTTTTTGCTCCATTTGTTTTTATGTGTTCAGGGTATTATAGAAACTTCAAATGATACATATACAATATCACTTTTATTCCCAGGAGATAACACTTTGCCATTAGTTAGGTTTTAGATATAAACAGTCATTTGGCCATAAGTTGCCTGTGAATATTTTAGTAGAGCAAAATGAATTTCATGTATCTAGTATTCAACTTTCCTTGAAGTACAGATGTGCTAAGTATAAGGTAAAGCCCACACCGTTCCTTTTTAAAAAATTATGTAGTTATGTCATCCAACCTTTAGAGCAAGTAACTGAGTAGCTCTTTTTCCATGATAAATAACAACATTCTATGTGCTCCATCATACATTATATTCTTTAAAGAAATTTGAAAGGTCTTTAATTATTGGCTTTTTTCTTTGGAATGATCAGGGGTGTTTTTTTCCCCATTCCTTATAAAATAATGCCTAATCCCAATGCTTTAAATTCCTGTAAACTGCTTATACAAATGGATGATTCCTTTTCTTTCTTTGTGTGGTTTTCGTCAGTTCCTCCCCAGCCCATGCTTTCTGTGTCTCCCTCTCTCTCTCCCTTCTGTTTCCTCATACATTTCCCACCCCCAGGTTCAATGGCTTCTCTCATTCTCTTCTAATAAACTCCGAGGGGAAATGTCTCAATCTGGCTTGTCTGACAAGCTTTAGGAAACATTGAATGCTTCATGGAGGGCCTTCCTTCTGGGACCTTGAAAGTGTGAAGGTGCCTGTGTGTGTATTTGTGTGTATTTCTCAGACTGACTTACTAACCCTGGTGTTGGTGGCAGCAGTGTTTGAAGTAAGATGGGCGGGATGCCAAGAGGGCCTCAAACTCCAGTTTTCTTACTCTCTGAGATTAAAACAGTACACAGTCCCATCCCATTCCTTTATTACTTCTGCAAAGCTTACCTTTCTCCCCATCTCAGAAGAAAAGGTTTGTTTAAAGAAATTCATTAGTGTTAATATTGTGAGAGTCATGTTTAAACTACTTGACAAAAAAATTAAGTTTTTGTAGATTCTAAATTGGTAGGAATATACTAACTCTGACATTTACCTTTTCTTCTCCCATTTCAAGCACAGTCTAGGAATGATTAAAAATCTCTCTGCAAAAAGTTGGTGTTTCAGGGAAAAGACGTTTGCTTTCAAGAAGTTTCTAGACCAACTGATAAAGAATAGAGATTTTGAATGATTCTTAACACCTGACTTCAGAACTTGTTTTTTAGTTTTAAGATGGCATTCCCAGGGGAGTAAGTACTCCAGCCATTTGGATACTCGGTATTGAAAGTGACAGATGATCCTTTAATGTGAATAAGCACATAGTTATCCCAGGAGTGATAACAGAGTAGTCATCTGAGGTTTTATCGAAGTGAAGCAATGGGCCAACCCTGGGGACCATCCTTGACTTCTGAAATGTTATTGATGCAAGTTTATTTAAGGTTCTGTAGGTGTTTCATTTGCACCTTCTTCAGTCTTTCTGACAAAATAATTTTTAGTTGGTGGAGAGTGTAATGGGTGTGACTCTTCAGAAAATGTAGCTGAACCCTAGCTTCTGCTTTTCAGGCACGTACCATTGTTAAATTGTGTGCCCAGCTTGGGGCATGAAGAACGTGATGAGAATCGCTCAGTGTGACTTATTACTTTAATGTAGATCTTATGGATTATTATCTGCTTTAGCATTAAGCACTGGAGGCACTGTCTAGTCTCCCTCAACTGCCTTGCAAATGAAGGAAGGCAAAAATCTCCCCTAGGTTTTGTATTACTCTCAGAATTGTACAACTTAAGCAGCAGCTGTGGTATTCCTGAGGGAAGATTTGTTGTTGTTTTTTTTTCTTTCATGACTTCCTAGGGGTTAGCTGGACCAACATGGTTTTCATATTTCATAGTAAGGAAAGTAAAATACCTGTTTATATTTTTAATAAGATCAATAATTGATATTTCACCAATTAGAAATCTATCATAATTAGAGCTGGACTAGGATGATTTTGTCTTTGTACCCCTTGAGAAGAAAGAGTTTTCTAAGCAATGAATAATGCAAAGATTTTATAGGGTCATGTTTTATGTATTTAAAAAAATTATAGTAAATTGGAAACACCAGAATAAAAAAATTCAAAATAACCTTAATTTGTGATGCTTAGGGGATTTATTGCCTTTACAAAATTTTATGGGAAAACACTCTGTAATTCTAAAATATGATTTAAATAGAAGGCATTATTGTTGTCTACATAAATTATTGATGTTAACTGTCCATCAGTCTTATTTCATCATTAAAGCAACCCCAATTTTTTTAAAAGATGCAGAGGGACTGGGGACAGCATTTCTGTTTATGGTACAAATCTGAGAGTAACAAAACATCAATAGGATATTCTATAATCCAACTGTCTCAGCAGTTTGCTCTGGATTTCCCCTACTAAGACGTCTGAATATTATGAAATTGCATTAAAGGAGATGGGGAGGGGGGATTAGCAGTGGGGGGAGGGTGTTGGTTTTGCTCTTCATCCTGTGATCATCTCCACAGTTTTCTGTAGTAATAGCCAGCCTTTATATAGCTCTTTTGAGGTAGGTACTATGATTAGCCCCATTTTTACAGATGAGGAAACTGAGACAAACAGAGGTTAAATGACTTCTCCAAGTAGTACATGTCTGAAGAAGGATTTGAACTCAAGTCTTCCGGACTTTCAGTCCAGCAGTGTATCCACTGCACCACCTCGCAGCCTATACTAATTTAGAACAGGTGAACTCCTACTGATTGGTGGAGGAAAAGGTTTACCTGTAGAGTCCTTCTGCACGAGGACTAAGTCAGATAAGATACTTGCTCATAGATTAGTGCTTACCCCAAGGAATAAATACAAGCACGTAAAATTGCAGCAGAAGAGATTTGTGTAAATAAGTTACAGATTATAAGATACAAATGTATTATTCAGGAACCAATGGAATTTTCTATGAAGAATAAAAGAAAGCAATTGGGTGAAGGCCAATTTTTCCAGGAATAGTTCAAATAAATCAGTCTTAACCAGAGGCAGGAAAATAGGATGCATACAATCCTAATGTAATCCTAACCATTATTATTATTATTATTATTATTATTATTATTATTATTATTATATTACCAATTAGATACTTTGGAAAAGAAGAATAATACAAGTAACATTTTCTGGAAGACATGAAAATGGAAGGAAGAGTCTAGTTGCTTCAGCCATCAAAGTGTTTGTAACTTATGTCATCAAGAACCAAGAAAGGAAAGATTTCTCCTTTTCATAGTTAGGGCCTGACTATGATTCTCCTTTAGATATAGCCATATGCTTTCATATATTCTCAATATGTGCCCTCTTAAAAAAGAAGTATTTTTTAAGTGGGTACCAAAGGATAGACCTTTGATCAGAATCACAGGGACAGCTAACTTGTTATACTACCTTACAGTAGTATACTTGCTACCTGCACTTGCTTTTTAAGTAGTTTTGCATTTTAAATGAATTTTCCCCAAACATCAGTGGGAACTCTAGTTCAGGCGCTTTACTGGGAAGCTGTCTTGAAGAAAAAGTTAATACCACATTTCTTTCTTATTTTAGCTAGTTCTTCTCACTTGAAAAAAACAACCGTGTCCAAGTCATCGTCTTCACCATCAACTTCAACCACCTCATCTCGTTCCAAAGCGTCCAAGGAGTCGCCTTCCAGCAAAACAGCTTCAACAGGGACTTCACGGAGCAAGAAAAAAGCAGGCAAACAATTAACCCCCCGCCCACCTCCAGAAAAAGCTGTTTCTGCCACATCCAATCTCAAGGGAGAGTCTTTAGAAACCAGAGTAGAAAATCTGAAGTCAGAGGAGCCTCCCCCCATTTCAGAAGAGCAGAATATAGACCTACAGAATAAGTCAGTAGTCCCTCCTCCACCTGTAACCCCACCTCCTCCTCCACCAGCTCCTCCTCTTCCTCTGGAAAATCAATGCATTAATGTGTCTGATATTCCGGCTGTCACAGTTAGCAACGGGGCCAGCCTACCTGTCTCTGCCTTAGACTCGAGTCATCTTAAGACAGAAGAGCTGACAGACAGAACCACTCTTTCTTCAGACACCAGCTTGGGTGTTAACAGAGAAAACACAAAATGGTAGGTTTGTAGCATGAACCTCAGCATTTTTTTGTGCAACTCTATGCTAAGAAACAGCAAGCCAATTCTGTTTGAATTGAATTGAATCCAAGAATTTAATCTAGTTAATGTTGGGAGTCTTTGAGATGCGTACACAAATGATGATAACATCAATTAAGGCTAGGAAGGAACAGGTTATTGTAGATATTATCATCATCATCAATTATGATAATAGCTAACATTTATATAGTGTTTACTATAACATTGTACACATATTTACTGAGATATTATAATGGCTCACATACAGGGTTTGCTAAAAGTTTTAGTGTAGTTTTAAGCTATTAAAGTGTAAAATTTGGGGGATGCTCTGCATGCATATAAGCACACATAAAAATCATAGGATTTTAGAGTTGGAAAGGATTTTAGAAACCAGCTAATTTAAACCCATCATCTTACAGATGAGGAAACTAAAGGCCAAACATAGGACATGACTTGGCCAAGATTATAATGGGAGTACTATATAATTATTAAGAATGTTAAATATTATTTTATATATAAGCTCATCTTATCTTCACATATGGTAAGTAGTGTGAATACTCTGGACCTTATTTTACATATAATAAAACTAAGGTTTAGTGAATTCATGTCATGGTCCTGCTGACACAGGCACATAACTCTAATGCTGTGGTCTGGGTCTATTCCTTACCCTGGGTATTCTCTTTTACCATTTGGAAGCTGTTGGTGGCTCAGAACTGTGCCATTTAGATATCTCCCATCTTGGAGAGTTTTTGTCATTACTAAACTAGAATTATTATTTGGGGATTGGCACTGCAATTCAGGGCACAATCTAGCCACAAATGGCAGGATGCCTGTCCCTATATGACTTCTTGGTTCCTTCCCTCTTCTCTCCAGGGATCCATACTCAAAAACCTCCAAAAATTGCTAACCCAAAAACATAATACATACTGACTTTCATTCTCTTAACTTCTATCTAGACAAATTAATCTCTAATAACTGATTCGTACCACTAGTCATTCTACCTCCAAGCACAGCAATAATTCTCAATCAATCCAGGAAAATTCTTGCTCAACCTCTATTGCCACTCCCTAGCCAGTGGCCAGTTATCTTAAGGCATGCTGACCCAGATCCCTTTCTAGCCTTTTTGGTGGAACTAGTCACTACTGATAGCATCAAGCTTTCTTCACATCAATCACATGATGTTTACCTCTTCAGAGCTAAGGACCTAAGTGACCTATCCAAGGTTACATACCTAGCCACAACCAGAAACTATGTCTTCTCATCCCAAATCCATAATACTTCTTTTTCTCACCAAATTGATAGCCCCTTGGTAGAAAAAAAATTATCATTTAAGATGGGCTTAAAATAGCAGACATAATTATAAAACAGTGGGAAATACTCTTGGGATTAAAGAACTTTAAAAAAAAAAGTTTCTCAATTTCAGGATAAATACTCATGGGATAATTAGAAAAGAAAGAAAAACAAATGCTGAATTTCCGAAGGAATAAATTCATGTGTACGTGTGGGTCTGGAGGGAGTGGAACAATACAACTATACATAGGGAGTGACCATTAATGGAAAAATATAGCAGAAAATGATTTGGGTGTCAGAGTGGTCCATTAGCTGAACATCAGTGAACTAAATAGCTTTGTTGAAAAGCTGAATATGTGGTTAGGCTGTGTAAACAAGATTTAAGTGAAGAGTAGTGACAAAATATTCACTGTTTTTGCTGAGTTCTGAATAAAAAGAGATGGCTTTAAAGATTTTTGCTCATATTAAAAATAGCGAGTAGATTTCATTTGGAAACTATGAAATTGGTTTCCTTAAATTCCTATAGGACTAGAAAAAGAGTTTTAAAAAAAACTTGCTGAATATTCGCTATGTGTAATAGTGGGTGCTATAGAAGCTGCTGAGAAGTATAACACCACCTTTGCCCACAAGGAGCTCAGTGTCTATTTGGGAACATAGGACCTCTGCAGATTAAATATGACAATACAAAGTAGTGATCACTCAATGAACAATGATTTATTAAGGCCTGCAAAGTTCTGGGGATTTATAGACAAAAATGAAATGATCCCAACTTTCAAGGAGTTTCAATTCTAATGGGGGAAATGAAATGTACACATAAAATGTGGGGGCAAAATATATGCAAGAGAAATGTATATGTGGTGCTGATTGGTGCAAATGTAGGAGTTCAGATGAGGGAAGAGGTATCAGTAGGGGCTGTAGGGATCAGAGAATTTGAGATTGGAAGTAGAAAATGAACAATAAGTAAGATCAGTAGATAAGGGGGGAGGAGCATTCCAGGTAGCTAAAAAAGCCTGAGTGAAGAGACAGAGGCAAGACTCCATGCAAAGAGCAGTGTGCTGGGGATCAAGAAGCTTTGGGATCTATGGAGTCCTCATTCTGCCCATTGGACAATCAGTCCATCAACAAGTCTTAAGTGCTTACTATATGAGCTATTTCTTAACCCCTTTAGGCCTCAGTTTTCTCATCTGTCAGAAAAAGAGGGTTGCATCAGATCATTTTATAAGGTTATTTCTAGTTCTAAAGTTCTGTGTTTCCAGTAGTAAGTAAGCCAGTCTTATTGGAGCCAAGGATTTATATAGAGGAGTGGTATTGTTGTTCAGTTATGTCCAACTCTTTGTGGCCCCATTTGTGATTTTCTTGGCAACAATATTAGTGTGGTTTGCTATTTCTTTCTCCAGCTCATTTCACAGATGAGGAAACTGAGGCACACTGGGTTAAATGATTTGCCCAGGGTCATGCAGCTAGTATCTGAGGCCAAATTTGAATTCAGGTCTTCCTGACCAGGCTCAGCACTCTAGCCATTGAACCACCTAGCTTTGGAAAAATACGTCAAAATTGGGACTTGAGTTCTTATTTTTACCTATAAGGAAAACTAAAATGTAAAGGATTTTGTAATACCTATGGGTTTCTTTTATCTTTAATGCTTTTCTCCTCCATTAGTATTGATTATGGGATTAAATTTTATGGAAGCATATATTTAGCCTGAGTAAGAAAGGAAACATGATAGACCCCAAACATAGAGACTCCAAATAATGAAGACAGGGGTTGGAAGTTTGAGAATTTAGACTGTGTACTTCTTACTTAAGCATACTTAAAAATACCAACTTGACAGAGTTAACAAGTTATCAAAAGCACCTAATATTCCCTTTGGAGTTCATAGAATAATAGATTTACAGCTCCCCTCCACTCTGGGAGAATCTGTCTCAGGGTCTGGATTCTTTGACACTAAGCATGCTTATATTTCTTGGGTTTCAAAGACTATGCACAAAGGCATTTTATATTCTTATAGATAGTATTTAAGAAAGATGTACTACTGGGATAGCAGAAGGCAAAAGGGATGACAATGCTGCTCTTCAGCTGAAATATTTGAAGGATTATTTCTCAAAAGATGATGGCCATCTGTTCTCTTTCACCGCTGAGGATGCAATCAGAATAGGGCTTAGCTGCGATATTAGAGATGTAAGCTCATGGTAACAAAGATTTTCCTGACTGTGAAGGTTACTGTAATAGAGTGCTGGATTTTAAAAATAAAATTGCTTCATTTCAAAGGTTTGGTTTGGATTTAGTCCTTGTAAAACAAATGGGAATGGAGTAGGTAACTTCTCAAGTTCCCTTCTAGTCATATGAACATTACTATCAGATTGTGAAGCTCTTTGGTTGATCCATTCCAGGGTCCCAGTGTTGGATTTAGGTTCCTTCTAAGCAAAATTGTATTTTTGTGTCATGCTGCCTCCATCAAGGCACCAGGCAGAGTCTGCCTGAAGGATTTGAATAGTGGTTTGACTTAGATTGATTGTTTAGGTAACAAAAGTAGGAAGACCTTTTGTCCCCACTAGTTGTGAGCTCCTTGAGGTCCTCTTTTTGTATCCTCAGTTCTCAACACAGTGCCTGGCACATAATATGTTACTGAATTGTTTCAGTCATGTCCAACTCTTCATGACCCCATTTTGGAGTTTTCTTGGCAAAGATACTAGAGTGGTTTCCCATTTCCTTCTCCAGCTCATTTTACAAATGAGAAACTGAGGCAAACAGGATTAAGTGACTTACCCAGGGTCACACAGCTAATAAGTGTCTGAGGCTAGTTTTGAACTCTGGAAGACTCATCTTCCTGACTCCAAGCCCAATGCTCTATCCACTGTGCCACCTAGCATATAGTAAGTGTCCAATAAATATTTATTGGTTGATTAACTATATCAAATGGGCCTCAATTGGAATAGAAATGTCAACAGGCTTGACAGTGGATAAATTGGTTATCTCACAAATACCAATCCAATTTATTTAATTAGTGATGTGGCTTTAGGGAAGTCATTTAATTTTTCTGGACATCAGTTTCTTCATTTATAAAATATGGAAGTTGGACTAAAGGATCCATAAGGTTTCTTCCAGCTTTAATGCAGTATTCTGGTTAGAGAGGTTAGTTGCTGCAACCCTGTGAAACCAGGCCTTAAGAGTTCTGAAAAACCATTTGTTATATTCTGCTGGCAAGCTCTTGTCTGGCTCTTGTAGCTGCCTTAATTCTGAGGTGGTGATATTCAGAAATGGTTAGTGTATTCCATAAATATCTTAAAACATTGGATATTTTATGGGTTACTTATAATCGTGAATTAAAACCAATTTGTTCTTTCTAAAGCTTACTGACATTTTAGTTTCAACTGAAGGCCTACATGATAGTTTATATGGCTTTGGGTTTATAGACCATCAGCAAGGTTGTGATAGCTATTAAATATCCTGTAGTCTAGTAGAAAAGCCAGGCAGAGTTAGGAAACTTTCCCAGTTCTGTCAATTTTGGCTTTGCCTTGGGCAAATCATTTAACTTCTTCAAGACTTGGTGTTATCATCTATAAAAAGGAAATAATAACGCCTGCCCACTTCTCTCTTAGAACTGAGGTTTATGGGAAAGAATGTACTTCAAAGTGCTTTGAAAACTTAAAAGAACTGGATAAATTCTAAAAAGTTTTTTATTATTATTCAGATTGTGAGTGATGAGAAAAAGATTGATCTATGATACCAAAAAGAGGTGCGGGTTGAAGCAACATGGCATATAGTGGAAGGAATACTGGCTTTGGGGTCACAGGACCTGGCTGCTACTAACACTGATGTGATCTAGGACAGATTCCGTTTCCGTTTCCCTCTCTATAAAAGGAGACAAGTGGTCCAGATAATTGCTAAGATTCTCCAAGCTTTTACTGTATCTTTCTGTGAAATATTAAAATGGAAAATTTCCCTTACCTGGCATTCTACCAACAAGGGCCAACCTTCACTTTATTTGTGGCTTCAGCTGTAAACAACTTCAACATACCCACATACCCACAATGGTCTATGGGACCATAGTGAATAGAGTAGGGAACTTGGACTTAGGGAGACCCAGGTTCCAATATTGACTCTGCTTCCTTGCTGGGTGACCCTGGATCAGTCTTTACCTCTCTGAACCTCAGTTTCCTCAACTGTAAAGTGAGGTAATAACACTTTGGATTAATATAGCACCTTACCTCTAAAGAGCTCATTTAATTGTCATAACAATCTTCTCACTTCCCTTTACTAGGTCCTAGGGAGGTAGGCAGGGAAACTTTTTACAAATGCAGTGCATGATCCTGGAAAGAGACAGGGCGAATGAAAAAGGTCATGCTGCTTGGAAACCTTAGCAAATTCACTTATGTCAGCTTCAGTTTCCATATTTATAAAATAGAAATAATATTTGCACTATCTACTTCAAGGAATACATTATATACATGTGAGTTTCCTCTGGGGGAAGCTAATACAACTGTCTGACCATCACTTTCCTCATCTAGAAAATGAAGAGATTCTTTTAGGTGATGTCTAAGGACCCTTCTTCCCCTAATTCTATGGATTCTGTGGAATCTGAGGCATGGGGGTGGAGGGTGGGGGTGGCTAAAAAATTTTTCCATGGTCACCCTGGCCTTGGTAAAAATACTTAGAAACAAACATGTAGTAAATCCAAGACAGTTGGTTTTTCTCTTGAATCACATTTATGTAGAGGTTTATTTTCCAAAATTTAATTTTACCCCATTTCTTTAATTTATATTTACACATTTATGTAATCACAGAATGGTAGAGCTTATTAGTGATCATCAAATCCAGACCATTCCTCTTTAGAAATAAGAATACCCAGGAAGTGGTTTGTTTCACTAATATCATATCATGTCATATCATATAGCTTTTTTTTTCCTCTTCTGCAATGAGTATTTGCATTTTCCCGTAGGAGCCCTCTAATATGACTCAAATTCCAATGGTGTTCATATGGCTATGTTCTGATTGCATTAGCCTCTTGCCCTAAGACTTGTGGAGGGGAGGAAGTATGTATCCTGTGATTTGGGGAGGCGTGGTATCATTCCTGCTATACCAAGATTTTTGCGCTTCCCTAACAGTTTGACAACCGAAGAGGAGCTGATGAAAGAGGCGCCACGGCTAATGATTCCTGTTTTGATGGGCGAGTCTTCTGAATCTCTAAGCAGCACAGAGATTGAAGTTCAAAGAGAGAACCAAGCTAATGATTCTGATTCAGATGGGCCTATTCTGTACACTGATGATGAGGAGGAGGAAGAGGATGAGGATGATAGTGGTGAAAGTAAGAATTGCTTTTTGAAAACAGATTTTTATTGATATTCCTTTCTAAATAACATAAATATTCCTTCTGTATCTCTCACACTTTGCTCCTCTCAGAAAACTCTCTTTAAGCAAAATATTTTCAGAAAGGAGGAAAGAGAAAAAAAAATACATAGGTAAACTGATCGATATCTTGAAAAAAAAGACAGTATATGTAGTGTTCCACACCTGTGGACCCACTTCCACCTCTTCAAAGGAGTAGAGGGAGATGTCTTTTCAGATCTCTTGAAAGTAAGTTTTATTATACTGCATTATAGAAATGCTTGTTTTATTCCATAAATTAAAAATAAATAAATAATTTAAGAAAGAAATTAAGTAAGTTTCTTATGAGGTTGGAGAGATTTTCCAAAAACAAAAAACTCATTAGGGAGCATACAATTTGATGTATTTTCCTTATCCCCTTGTCAAATGAAAGACATTTATTTTTGGCAGATTAATTTTTGCTTTTGGACCTTCATGGGAGATGCTCTTTCAGGGAAGAGAGATTGTAGTTCACCCCTCCATTTTGTGTGTGTGTGTGTGTGTGTGTGTGTGTGTGTATTTGTAACAGAGAATATGTTTCCTAGCTGGAGCCCTTTTCATTGTGATGCAAAATCACTGTCATGTTGGCCATCCCTGAATGGAGCACTTCCAAGCCCACTTTACTGTTTAGTTTGATAGCTAAAGGTTTCACTTACTTTTCACTTTAGAATTAAAAGGAAGAATGAAGAGGAAACTTTTTATATTGAATAGATATTGGAGATTATAGGAGATTATGAATTAAGGGTTAAAAATACCTATTAGAAAATCACAAATAGCTGCTTGTCCAAACAGGTAACCATTTGTGCCCTAAAAGGAGTGATGGTGGCTGATTTACTTTGTTTTGCTCCCTCTCTGCCTCATAGAGGAAAAGATCAAACATCTGAGAGAACTGTGTTGTTGTTTTTAACTTTTTAGAAGGCTAGTCTGTGGAGTCATTCAATCTTATGATGGGACTAAATTCATATCTAGACTATCTAGGTTTTTAAAAATAAATTATTCCAAAGCTAAACATTAAACAGCTGCTTAGCAGATTCCTTCTGGTTTGTAGTAGGCAACATCCAGCACTATTCTCTTCTCAACTAGAATTAATTGTCATCTTTTGAGGTATCACCTTTCAGGTAGTAAGGGCTACTGGGTCATTCAGTGATGTGGATCAACATGCTTTTAGGTTTAGTAACTTTGTTGGCATTTTGCTGAAGGAGGAGGGAGGAAGAAAGAAGAAAGTGAGCTGTTAAAGGGTACAAGTGAGTGCATTTAATTCTTCAGATTTGAGAAGGAAAGATAGACAAAGCTTTAAGACCTCCATGAGACTCAAACAGCAAAATTAACTTCTAAACATTTTCATAATGGTGAGATCATTCTTGATATTTTTATCCCTCAAGTGCCCTAACACATTTTAGAATGTTGTTTTGCTATGTTCTCCAGCCTTATTCAAGACAAGCTAGGTTGAGCTTACAGTGCTGATGTTAATGAAAATTTATGTTAGGAAAGTGTCTGATCTTTGATTATATTAAAAAGGCCTTGCTGGGTATTTGTTAACCCAAGTACGGATGGTTAAGATAAAATATATTTCTCTTTATTTGACATTTTCCCAATCCCTAGGTGCTTTGGCAAGTAAAATACGTCGCAGAGATACCCTTGCCATCAAACTTGGCAACAGACCATCTAAGAAAGAATTGGAAGACAAGAACATCTTGCAGCGAACCTCTGAAGAGGAAAGGCAGGAAATTCGACAACAGATTGGAACAAAGCTCGTCAGGTAACTTTTGAAGTCTGAATGGAATGTTGACTCCTTCACACAGTTAAAGCACCTCCACCTCCCTGCAGCCCACTCCAACCAACCAAAGGCCCACCTAATTCAGCAAACATTTTAAATTCCCTTTATTGAAGAAATGAGATGGCTGGGTGGCACGGTCCATAGAGCACTAGACATGGAATCAGGAAGACTTATCTTCTTGAGTTCAAATCTGGCCTCAGATGCTTACTAGCTGTATGACCCTGGGCAAGTTATTTAACCCTGTTTGCCTTAGTTCCTCATCTATAAAATGAGCTGGAGAAGGAAATAGCAAACCACTCCAATACCTTTACCAAGAAAATCGCAAAATGTGGTCATGGAGAGTTGAATACAACTGAAATGACTGAATAACAAAAATTGAAGAAATGATGAATTCCAAAGTTTTGAAATACTTTAGATACTATTCCATGTTGTAAAGTTGATTGTTTTGGGGAAAGGGCCACTTAAGGAATGTTATTGTACTTTGATATAAGCCATTCAGTGTCTTCCAGGTCATTAAGTTGCTGTGACATCCACAAGGCCTGGTGATGTGCACTATACAAATATGTGATGTTGGCTCTAGTGTCCTGGCTCCAGTCCAAGTCCAGTAACCATGTGCTGCTTATCTAAATCCCCTTATAATTTCAAATGTAAGAAATCATCTCTCTTGCCTTCCCAATTCCAAAGCATTTTGTCACATTACTACCACTGTTACTGAATGGTAGTCAATAACTGAGTTCCTATGGAATGAGGCACTATATACAACCCAGAGATGGCAATGTCATTAACCCTGTAGTTCTTATTTCCTGATGTTGTCATGAGCCCTGAAAAATCCTACATTTCCTGTCCTCTGTCAATAGAAATATATTATAAACAGATGAAAGGTAACTTTCTGGGGTTTATGTGAAGAAGGTTTGGGAGGTGAAGAAGAATTCATTTCCTTGCACAGAACTCAAGCGATTTTCTTTGTAAATGCTGAGTAACCCCAGGGTTGCATAGCTGAGGCCAAGTGTCTTTGCAAGCATCCTCAAAGAGGAAGTATGGCCCCTCTAAGAACTTCTTTGTGTCTGAACCAAGGATAAAAGTGTCAGGATCTGATGGTTCTTACTGGCTGCCCACTTGGGAAGAAGAATCTCTTCCTTGAACTCAGAATAAGTTTCTAAAAGAAAATCTTAAAAGAGAGATGAAGGGAGATCTTTCCCCACTCCATTTTAGGAATAGCACATTAGGTGTACCTTTTTTTTTTAATCCATAGTGGTGGCTTTTGTTGAAGATTAACTACTTTGTACAAGATCTATGTCCTTGCCTTTCCTTTTCTATCTTCTATTTCTGGCTCCCTGTAGATTGATTACTTGCTACTCATTAGTACCTTCTCCCTGACGGGATGGCCAGGAGCAGAAAACAAGGAGATGAGAATAACTGAATTCTATAGTTTAGAAAATACTTTGTGTAATCCTTTGATTTTACAGATGAGAAAAATAAGGCCCACAAATGGCCTCCAGCAAGTTATTAGCAGAGCCAAGATCAGATCCTAGATCTGAACTCATATGATATCTGTTGACCCCAGGTTAAGAACCCTCTTTTAGGTCATCAAAGAAGGATCTCAGAAGGATTCTCTAACTAAGTGAATTAACTAGCCCCTTTCTTGATTAGGAAAGTTTTCCTGTGTTTTCTGACCCTACCCTTTGAGTGAGTGAAATACTGAAAATGATGGGTATGAAAAAAAAGACCTCTAAAGTTATTGATCCTATTTATCAGTCAATCAGTCAATAAACCTTTATTAAGTACCTACTATATGCCAGGCACTGTGCTAAGAGGTGGAGATATAAAAACAGGAAAAAGACAGTTCCTGACCTCAGGGAGCTCACAACCTAATGAGGGAGACAACATACAATAAATATATACAAAGCAATTTATATACAGGATAAATGGGAAATAATTAAAAGAAGGAAGTTATTGGATTTAAGAGGGAATAGGAAAGACTTCCTGTAGAAGATCAGTTGTTAGTTGAGACTTGAAGGAAGCCAGGAAAACCCTTAAGAGAAGAAAAGGAGGGAGAGTATTGCAGGCATGGAAGATAGCAGAGAAAATCCCCAAAGCAGCTACCACTCTATTTTATATATGTGTGTGTGTTTATAATACGTAATCTTCATATCCTTGTTTCTGTCTTCTTAGAACATAAACTACTCCTTGAGAACAAGGGTATTTATTAAATCTATACCTAGTACACTGCCTGGAACATAGTAAACACTTGATAAATATTTGTTGATTGACTAATGGTAAGTAGTATGAAATCTTCTAACATAGGCAGGTCTTTTTAAATGAATTTTAAACATCTTCATTAAAATATTGAAATAACTTATTTTTCTTTTCTATTACTTCTATGAATGACTGATACTTATTTATAAATTCTAGCATATTCAATTTTTTAGGCGATTAAGCCAAAGGCCAACGAGTGAAGAACTAGAGCAAAGAAATATCCTAAAACGTAAGTATTCTTTATTCTTAAATTTCTTCCATAACCTCTAAGAATGCCAGACTCCACTTATCATTGGGAAATCTTAATTATTAATCTCTGATTAATATTGAAATGGCTTATTTGAATCATAAATATTCAATTGCTTGTATACACAAATAAATAAGGGTCTGTAATTTAATTCACATATAAAGAACTCCTAGTATGGTAACTCCCTTCATCAACACTGATCATGACACATCTGTTACTTAGTAAATAAATTATAAATCATAGGAAAATAAATTTGAAGCCAGCAGAGACTTTAGACGCCATCAAGTCTAATCTCCTTATTTTATAGATGAGAAACTGAGGGTAGAAAAGGTAAATGAATTGCCCGAGGTTACAAAAGTACCAAGTACAGGAATTGAGATTCAAACCCAGGTTCTCTGAAAATCCAGAACTCTTTTGATCATGTTATGGTACCTCTCTTATGAAGGTTAAGTCACTTGTCGAGGGACACAAAGTTAGAAAGTGCAATAGGCAGGATTTGAACCCAGGTCTTCTTGACTCTAAGCCCAGAAATCTATCCTCCAAGTTACACTGCCTCTTTTTCTTTATGTAACCCAACTTATACTTCTTGTTTTTATATTTCACATTATAAAAATAAGGCCTGTGCTACAGGGTGAATTTTAAGCTTTTACCATAATCTATGACTCATTTGTCTGAAAATTATAAAATATGTGGCTATGTATTCTCATTCACTGAAACTCCCCATAGGTCAAAATTGACCTGTCCAAAAAATAAAAGTAGAAAGATATAGTTTGCTCTTTCATATATTAAAAAAAACAAGCCAAAAGAACAAATTAAACCTTTATGTATTGTAGCTAATAAAATATTATAGTTTGTCACACTCAAAGAAATTTGTCAAATGATTAGATTTCATTTGAATGATGAGGAAAACAACATTTTCTTCCCCTTTGTTATGATTTCTCTGTTCTCCTGGAGGAGTATTCCTGACGTCTCAGAACTTAGCTATTTCCTGGTGCTTCTCTTATTTACTTTACCCTTTCTTTGGGGGCCATTTTTCTCCACCCTGGAGTAAGTATGTTGATATTAGTGTGTATTTTGTTATTAGTGTAAAAATAGTAGAGAAACACTTTTCATTCTGTCATGTTATATCAGCAGAGCCATTAACAGTAGTGAGCTCTATAGTGGAAATTTTTTAAAGGATTATCCCCATTCTAGTTATATTTTACATTTTATTAACTGACTTTTCCAAGGGTTTTGTAGCATGTGAAATTTCAAAGAGCTGAGATGGGCAAACTGCCTGATTGTCACTTTAATGAAAATAAATCACTGGCATTGTGGAAAAATCCCTTCAGACGCGGTGTTTGAGTTATGTTGGCTAAACTGCTCTCCAATATGAGACATTTTCTTTCCAATGCCATTTCCCAGTATATTTACCTGGCAGCTGGGATTATTACTGTAACTACCCAACAAACATATATAAATCATGAGAATGGTTGACCTCTATTCATTCTCTTGTGTTTTTTGCATGTTATTCCTTCTTTTTTAAGGGAGGGGGAGAGATCTCTCTTTTATCACCCACCTGGTTTGTTTATTTGGTATAAATAGAATACAACACTGTTCATGAAAATTAAAGAATTTCAGATAAATCTCCATCACTATGCACAAGAGCCAGTTTCAGAAAGAGGGGAAGAAATAATCCCCAACTGAGAGAAGAAAAAATTGTATGCCAAAGGATTTCAGTTCATTTTTCCCCCGTAAGGAGGAAATGAGCCAGGATCTAATACTGACTAGCATTTAAACAACCTCAAAGATTGGAAGTTCCTGTAGGACAAGGAGTGTGCCTAGTTGAATTGACGCCTACAATATTTAAAAGATACTAAAGAAATAGAAAGAGGATGGTCATGGTGGATAATCCTAACTCTCTATCATTAGTTTCATTGTTTGGGAATATTCATGATTTTCTATTGCATATTCTCATGCAGTGTAGCTTCCTCAGCTGTGACAAGTCTGCCTATATAGCCATTGCCTTTCTATACTGACTTTGAGATGCCATAATTTCCTGGATGTCAGAGGAAGGGAGTAACTTCCTAATTAGGGTTTGGGTTTGATACCAACCTTGTCCTAATTTCCTTCTTTAAGGTCATCTAAGTATGTTTATTCTGGATCCAAAGAATTGTTTTCAAGCCTGGCAGGAGAGACATTAATAATCTATAGCTTCTAGAAATAATAATGTAGGGAAAATGAAAAGAGAGTCAAGAGGATCATTTCTGACATTTATTATTTCAGTTGGTCAACAAAAGAATGTGCCAAAGTCCCCATTGTATTTCTGTGATTTGTGAGCCTGTTTATTCTGTCCAGGTTCCCTGCCCTTTCCCTGGTACAAAGTGGCAGCCTGGAAAGTCCTACTTAGCCAAATGACCATGTACAACAGTAATTGTTATTGTGAATTATCTTCCAAGGAAAGACTTTTAACTGGGTCACCTATACTTGGTACCCTGGGCACCAGGTTTCATCAACCAATAAACATTTTGACCGGTTCCATGAATGATCACAGAATATCAGTACCATAATAAAGTCATCAGATTCTAATAAATGTAAAGAGCATTTTTCTAGACAATAGGATTTTTACTTCATGGTAAGACTTCTAAAATTGTATACTTTATAACATTTTACTTAATTTCTGTCAGAATTGCTGTAGGTGTTTAGGTTTTGTCCAACATCACATAGCCTTGTACTCAGTGTCATTAGGGAATGAGGTATTTCCAAATAACCTAAGCTTACTTTAAGGGCAAAAACTTGGTTTTAAAATTTAAATCATGTAAAGGAAATCTAAGCTGTATTTATATGTTTCCCACTTTCTGAAATAGAGTATATAAATAAACATAAATTTTTCTTCTTGATGACTGTCATAATGATCATTAGTTATTATGGTAAATGATGATACCTCCAAAACTACTGAGGTTTGTGTAGGTGTTTCCGCTTACTACTGTAGGTCCCAGATGATTCAATTTACAATGCCTGTTTTTTATATCTTTTATGCAACCTCCTTTGTGATGCTGCCAGTAATCATTTTTGATGCTCAGTGTTCTCTGATCTAGGACCCTCTTCCCCTTCTCACTTCTAATTTCCTCCTTCTGTTCTGTTATGAGGTAGGAAAGATAATGAGACCTGTTAGTTGACAAGAAGGACAGCTAGGTGGCACAGTGGATAGGGTGCCAGGCCTGGAGTCATAAAGATTCATCTTCTTAAGTTAAAATCTGGCCTCAGACAATTACTAACTGTGTGATTCTGGCAAGTCACTTAACTCTGTTTGCCTCAATTTCCTCATCTGTAAAATGAGCTGGAGAAGGAAATGGTAAACCACTATATAATATCTTTGTCAAGAAAACCCCAAAAGTGGTCGCAAAGAGTCAGGCATGACTGAAACAACTAAATATTTTTATTTTTTTATCATTATAATTTTTTTTAGGCAATTGGGGTCACATAGCTAGTAAGTGTCAAGTGTTTGGTCTGGGGCCAGATTTGAACTCAGGTCCTCCTGACTTCAGGGGCGGTGCTCTATCTACTGTGCCACCTCGCTGCCCCTGAAATAACTAAATAACAACAACAATAAAATCCCATAACCCATGTTAATGGAGGAGAAAAGCACCAAAGGTGAAAGAAGTCCATAGGTATTACAAAATCCTTTATATTTTTAGTGTTTCTTATAGGTAAAAATAAGAACTCAAGTCCTTAATTTTTATGTATTTTTCCAAATGACTTGTCAGAAAGGTCAAATATAACAAAATGAAATGATGCAAAGAGGATGCATGGAAGAATGAAAGGAGGCAGTGTGGGTATAATGGATAGAGAGCTGGCTTTAGAACCATGGTTCAAGTCCCACTTCTGACACATACTGGCAGTGCAACCTTGGGTAAATCACTTAACTTCTCTGCACTTCAGGCAATTCTCTAAGACTGTTATTGACTATTACAAGAATGTCTAAAATGAGAGTAAATGGACTCATTCTGGATATTTCTTCTGACATTCCCAAACTGAAAAAGCTCTTTAGCAAAAACATTCAGCTCTTCAAATGCTATTTTGAAGATGAGTGGCAAGCCAACAGTAGGAGTCATAACCCCTTATCATCCCAGATATCAGTCCATCTTATTATATCATCATTTATTTCAAAGTCATCCAGAAGGTAGCTTTCCTGAAGTTTGTGTACTTGAATCCTGCCCAGAACAATTATGAACTTGGCAAGCTCCACAAAATCAAGTGACCAGCAACCACAAAACAAGATAGAAAAGATGAACTACAGCTTGAGAAGCTATATCCTAAGATGATTTTAAACTTTACATTTATATTCTATTATTTATATTGTATTCACCTCTTCAGTGGGTTACGGGTACCTTAGTCTCTGTTTTGTCACAATGGCAACTTTAGTTATTTTAAAGGATTATGACTGTGAGGTTTTTTGGGGGGGGTTCTGTACCCCATAAACTGTTAAATCTTTTCTTCCCTACACAACACTGCAAAGAATGCAAATGGAACGGCTCATTTCAAATGAAGAGAAAAAGAATCACTATGCCACTGAAATCTTGTATAATTTTTTTCCACAAGGAAAAACCTCTTTTGACTATTATTGACCTATTTGAATTAATAACTAAAGATTATGGCACTACTCTATGCTGATATCCTTAGAAAAAAATTCAACAAGCCTCTCTGCCTCTGGAGCAGTGTGGTATAATGGATAGATAGCTGGCTTCAAGTCAAATCCAGCAGGACCGGATTCAAGTCCTTCTTCTGGGACTTAATGTCTGTATGACCCCAGGCAAGTCTCTTAATCTGTCAGTGTTCTATTCAACTCTTAAAGATTGTAAATTGCAGAGAAGGTGCTGACCTCCATTGGCAGAGGTTTCTTTATCTAGGAGTTCTCTATACCAGTGGAATTACAGATCTGGCACTTACCCCCTTTCTACCGTAGCCTTCTCCACAAATATCACTAGTAAACTTAACTTGCTAGGTAGGTTACCTTAAGTGCCTACAGCTTTTGGACCAAATGTATTATGTTCGCTGTGGGAGACACTCTCTATAATGTCTGTTTCTTGGTAGTAATTCACTATTCACACGGTTTGTCACCATCTTTTTCATAAAACTGTCTTCTGAATTATTTGTGATGAATGTGGAAGTTTTCTATCCTTGTTAATAAAAGAATAGCCTTCCTAGGAAATTAAAGTATGAAGCATCTGGAAGAAATTAAGTGTGCACTGGAAAACAATTTTTTAAAATAAATTTTAAGAATTAAAAGAAACTTTTTACAAAAAGAGTTTTTGTAAAGCATAATATTTTATCAGAGCAAAGTTTAAACAAGCAGGTTACTGTTTGTTTTTTACTTCCCTATCCTGTTTCCTCTGTTCTTCTTAGAAGTAGAATTCTGCAAATCAGTTCCTGATGTCAAATACGGTCTCAGACACTTGACACTTACTAGCTGTGTAACCCTGGGCAAGTCACTTAACCCCGATTGTCTCACCAAGAAAGCAAAAAAAAAAAAAGAAGAAGAAGAAGAAGAAAAAGAAATTAAATTATTTGCGCAGGGTTATACAACCAGGATATGTCAGAGATGGGATGTGGACCCAAGTTGTCCTAGGTTCTTTAGTAAGCCACGGCCACCTCTTCTTGACGTTATCATTTCCAATAGCAATAAATAGCTGATCTTCCTGATCAAAAGTGTCAAACTCATGGCCTGCTCCCTAGTGCTGCTGAACCAGATTAAAATCTGTTTGGGAAATCTTTAAATGAATACAAATTCAATAGAACCCAGATAACCTTAATATGTAGTTTCCAACATGTGGCCTACAGAGTGTGACACCGCTATTCTAGAGCTCTAATTTGAACTACTCCAGTATCTGTACCAAGAAACCCCCATATGGGGTCACAAAGAGTCAGACAATACACACACACACACACACACACACACACACACACACAGACACACACACGTAATATACCAATATATAATATAGCCTCTACTTGAAGATATTCAAGGATAGGGAAACTACCTCTTCTTGTGGAAGCCCATTCTGTTTTTGTATAGTTATAATTGCTAGGAAGTTTTTTCTTATGTTGACCTAAACTTGCATCTTTGCAACTCCCACCCATTGTTTGTAGATTTGCTTTCAGGAAGAAACAGAGTAAGTCTAAATCATCCTCCACATTGACAAACCTTTGGAAAGTTGAAGGGCTCTATCATATCCTATCATTGCCCCCCCCCAACCCTGAGTGTCCTTTTTTTCCAAACTAAATAAGTCCAGTTTCTTTAACTGATTCTCATACACCAATATCACTTGGGTTGGTTTGTCCTAGTAACGTGATTGTTTGTATTAAGGACATTTATTTTTAAATAAGATCATTTCAGAATAAATTATTTTAATTTAGTGGACATACATTTAGTGGAATAAGAAATATAACCATAAATGTGTTCATAAGAAGTTTAACCTTTTATCAAAGGTGTTTGGCTCCAGATAGACCACTGAACAAAAGTCATTTTTATTTTTTTCATCCTGTAATAATTTCAACGTGAAATAATTTTATTTGAGTAAAGTACATCGATAAGAAGTATTTGCCCTCTCTCTTACTAACATGTTTTTCAGAAGTAAATTGAAACCCTAAATATTAAATAAGGAATAATAATAGTGAGTTTGGCATATTAAGTAAGCAAATAGAACAGTTGTTTTGTTTAGTCACACACAACATCTTAATGCCTTTTCATCATTATTTCCCAGTAAGAAAAGGAAAAAGTGAATGCAAATTTTCCATTATGAAATTGCCTATTTTATTATTAAAAGTGGAAAATGTACAGGACTGTTCTTATGTTTTTTGTTGCAAATGAATAACCTCATAATTGGGAGATTTTCAAGGTTCCAAATTGCCCTTTCTCATACTAAAAATTTGTCCAGAGTTATAAATGTAAAGCTTTAAAAAGTGTCAAGGGAGACATTGTACTAAGAAAAGTTGCAGACTTGTTTTGGGGATTTTTTGGTATAGGGGGTTTTTTTTGGGGGGGGAAGGGCGCTATAAATCCAATATTATTTGAAACAAAAAGTATTAGATTCCCCAGGAAAACAAACATAATTTCTGTGTAATTATGTAGTGTTTACTAAGTCTTACATGGTCTATAATTCTAGCAGCAATGGCTAAATGCTAATCCTTTTTCAGACCTGCTAGTTATGCCCTGTAATAGAATGAGGCCATCTGCTTTCTAGCAGAAAGAGTGCTCACACTGGAGTCAGAGGACCACTGAGGTCCCTTCCAACTCGAGATCTGTGAACGTATCAACCAAAACTTATTCTCATTTATTAGGATCAGCTATAAAATAGCGAAGGCAGTAATCAAGTAATTATCAAATTATTTATCAGATGATAAATCATGGAATTCTGTAAGATTCCCTTTCCTCCCTCAAATTATAGAAAAAATTTCCCCCCAGTAATCCCATAAATCTGACCACATTCTTTTAACAGGTAGATGATGGCTTTGCCAACAAATAGATTTATGATAGCTTATATGCCTTGAATTGGAAAAGGCCTTAGAAAACTCACTAGAAAGAGAAAATTACAAGTTTACATGTAATGGCTCACCCTTCCACCTTTTGAGACCTTTTCTCCTTTGAAAACATCAGGAAAATTGGTTATACAGTGGTTTAAAGAATCTGAAGACTGAAAATAACAAATAGAGTTTGGTTTGAATGAAGATTTAGTAGTTCAAATATACATCTAAAATTTATCCAATTCTGTTTTTTTATTTGATGTCTTAGAATTGTCCCATTTAGGTCAGACCTAAGAATAAGCTTTCCTTATATGAGCTGATACTTTTTTTCTTAAAGTCATATTGGATTTACTACAAATAAGCCCCCCCCCCAAATGAACCTGCCTTGTTAAGAGAGCAGAAATAAGAATGATAAATAAAAATACTAAATAAATTAAATAGTTGGATTATATCTTACTTTTTTCAAATCAACCTTACTAAAACAAAGGCAAAACAAAGAGGTCTTTGACATCTTTTTTTTTATGATTTGGGCCAATTCAGAATCCCATAATTTCAGATTTGAAAGAGATTTCAGAGGCCCTTCACTGCAACCTGCATATCTACAATAACTCTGACAAGTGATCATCCTTCCTTTTCTTGAAGAACTCTCTTGAGGAAAAATGTATTTCCTTCTGAAATGCTTAATCCCAGTTTTAGATAGCTTTAATTATTAGAAAGTTTATCCTGATATCAAGTCTAAATCTGCCTCTATGCCCCATCCCATCCATTGCTTCCAGTTCTACCATCTGGGGGTCAAACACAGCAAGTGAAATCTCCCATTCTAAGACTTCTCGCTCAACAAAATTATCTAAAGCTTAAGAATAAAGAAGAGAAAAGAATTCAGGCAGTAAAAATAATAATATTCATAGCTAATATTTATACAGTACTTTACAGTTTGCAACGACTTTTACAAATGTCATTTGACCCTTACAATAACCATGGGAGGTATGTGCTGTTATTATTGTCATTTTACAGATGAGGAAACTGAGTAATATAGAGGTTTAAATGATTTGCCCAGGCTCATACAATAGCAAGTATCTGAAGCTGGATTTGAACTCAGCTCTTTCTTCCCAATTCCAGGTACAGCACTATCCACTACAGAAGAAATTTGCATTATGACCATTCATTAAACATGTTTGCCTCCCTTTAGGTGATTTAATCCAGGATCACAGTTTTCTTGGGTTGTGTTGTTTCGACTATAAACAGACATACCTTCATCATTTGCAATTATGTACTACTGATAAGTAGCAAAATATTTTTTGTCTATACCACTTAGGAAAACTGATAAAGTCCCACCTTCTCACATGGCCTGGTGAAGTTCCTCTCTAATTAAATATAGTCTATTTCTTCTTTTGAAACATGGGGTCATTTGTTAGGGCGGAAATAATGATGCTCTCATCTGCTTTTCTTACCCCAGGATCATCTGTTGTACCTAAATAGTCATACCTTAACTCTTTTTATGCCAATAAACAGAAAAAAATGAAGAAGAAGAACAGGAAGCAAAAATGGAACTGAAACGCAGACTCAGCAGAAAGGTGATGGACATGTCACAGTACATGCCTTTATGTCTTTGTGTGTTTACATCATGTCCCTCTGCACCACTTCACTCCCTTCTTTCTTATAGTAACATATGTCACTAAATGGATTCTATTTAAAAGTTCCCAATATTTATTTAGATGACATGCTAAGATCACTCTGTATGTTATATGAGTGTCCACACATACACACACATACACATACACATACACACACCCCTATGTATCCACAAAATAAAGGATTTTCAGTTATGTTTGTATTTAGTTACTTGGTATGCCTATGTAGGAAAATTTTTAAAATGGGCTCTAAAAATAAATTTGCTTTTTTCCATAGAACCAAAGTAGAATTTTAAGTAAATATTTGGGTTCTTGGAATTGTGGGTATATCGTGTGGTATATTACCATTGATAGAAGATGTGAGTGAATCATGGTATGGTGAATAGAGCACTAGATTTGGAGTCAGAAAAGCCTGGGTTCAAATCCTGCCTTCTTAGACATGTGGTGGCTGTGTAATCTGGACAAGTCACTTAACCACTTTGTGCCTCAGTAAAATGAGGGGTTGGACTTGATGGCCTCTAAGTTCCCAATTGATGGTCCTCTGATTGTTTCTACTGGATGATCTAGCTCAGGGGTGGGGAACCTGTGGCTTCAAGGCCACATGAGACCTTCTAAGTCCTCAAGTGCAGCCTTTTGACTGAGTCCAAGTTTTACAGAACAAATCTGTTTATTGAGGGGATTTGTTCTGTGAAGTTTGGATTCAAAGGCCGCACTTGAGGATCTAGAGAGCCATGTGTGGCCTCAAAGCCATAGGTTCCCCACCCCTGCTGTAGGTTCTAAGAGCGGCCTTTTGACTGAATCCAAACAACCCCTGATCTAGCTAATCTATTTTCCCTGGTTAAGAGTATTCCCAAAATAGCAAAAAAAAAAAAAATTAATCTCCTGTAGCTCAGGCGATTGTTATTTCTAATGCAGTAGTGCTCAGACTTCTTGATCTCAAGACCTCTTTATACTATAAAAAAATGATTAAGGACCCCTCAAAGTGCTTTTGTTTATGTGGGCTATATCTATCAATAGACTAGTTAGAAAGTTTGATCTCCATGTTAGAAGTTAAAATATCTTTGTTTTGTTATAAAAATAGTTTTTACCTCATAGACCTCCTAAAAGGAGGATCCCACCCCCAAGGGGTCACCGGACCACACCTTGAGAACCACTGCACTAATTTATAGAAATAGAAATCTGGTTAAAAGCAATTTCTCTATGAGCAGGAAAACAGAAATCTTTGTAAAATAACACATGAGTATTTTGTATGTATACTTTTAATATTTATATATTGCATTATAAATAAATTACTATTGTCATTAAAAACAATAACAGGAACCTATAGCATTTATATCACACCTTGAAGTTTACGTTGCACTTCACAGCTATTGTCCTATTTGATCTTCACGATAACCCTGTGAGGTAGGTAGTATTAATATCCCCATTTTACAGATGGGGAAACTGGGACCAACCGACTTGCCTGCAGTAGGATTGGAATCTAAGTATTCCCAATTCTAAACCCCTCGCTAAACAATTTATATTATAGTTGTGATAGCTATCTTCTGTAACTTTCTTTCATTGAGTGGGGCCCAAGGAACTTTCTCTTTCTTCATTAATTTTTCAGAGAAATCAATAAGCTTTTATTTATCACTGCAGGTCAAGTGACTCTGGAACAACATTTGGCCTCTGATCTCAGTAACTCGTGAAAAAGCAGTGTGAAAAAGGATGGGTAAAACGTTTCCTTCTGATGGAAACAATGCTGCAACTGCCTTTGAGATCATTTCATCGTTAAAAACCATATATTTAGCAAACACCTTCTCAATGCGCTAGAATTCAAAGAAAAAACAAGTTGAAATAGGGTTAGCACCTTGTATGAAAAAGGACTCTGCTAACTACCAGAGGCTCTAGAGATGCTCTTTAGGGACACTTTGGTGACTGATCCCTTTCTTTTGTCACTAGCTGGGCAGATAAGATGATGAGGAATAGATTATTGATGGGTTATTGATTATAAATATCATACCCATATTTGGTATGGTCACAGAGCCCTGCTGAAGGGCATGCATCACTACCTTCTGCCACAGAATGGATCTGATCCCTTAATTTTGCAGATGACTTAACCATGACTTAGCTAGGGAGGTTAAATCACTTACCTAAGGTTACATGGATAGTGCACTTAGTAACAGAAATCTGGTCTCCTAGCAGTGGTTTGTGCTTATACCGCAATACCTTCTTAGAGCAACATCAGTTCACCATAATAGAATCATAGAGTCAGAACTCAGAGGTCACCTAGTTCAGTGGTGTCAAGCTCCAATAGAAATGGAGGCTACTGAACGGTACCTAAGATCCCCATAGGGATATATTAACTTACAATAGAACCATTTTAATCTGCTTTGTTAAACATTTCCCAATTATGTTTTAATTTGGTTCTGCCATGCTCACAGGCCATATGTTTGACATCTCTGATCTAGTCCAATGCCCATAATTTTACAGATCAGGAGACCAAGTCCCAGGGAGGTTAAGTGATTTCCCTAAGGTCACATGAATAGAAAGTAAGAGAGATAGGATTTGACGTAATTTGGGCTTTCTTTTCACTACACCACACATCAAGAAGAATGTACTGCAGTAATCTTAGACTATTAGACACATCTTAGACACAGCCACTCTCTGACAAAGACATCAAGAAAATGAAGTGGCAGCAATATGCCTGGCTTTCCTGTATGAAATTAGTATTATGACTTTCAATTTAGAAGCACTCTTAGAATATATTAGAATATATTACCTTCATAGTAAAGTCCCTTCAAGACTTGAGCAAGCCAAGTTTCTCCCAATCTGTCGATGTCATTTCTATATTTCCCTCAAGCTTGGCAAGGTCTAGGGAAAATTAGCAATTTTTCTCATACTAGATACAGTATAATTCACATAATTTAAATTGTGCTACGATCATTTTGTTGAACCAGTGTCTCAAAGGAAAAGGCTGGTTGAGTAACTGTGTTCATAAAGGTCTGAGACTCCCTGTTCTTGTCTCTTAAACAAATCTGTAGCTTTTCTTTCCTCCTTTCTTGTGCCATTCTCCTAACTCTAATGCCACCTAATCAGCCCAAAGTTGCCAGTGTCCAGCTAACTGGCGGAGTAAGCATAGGTTATAGGTGAAGCCAGGGTGACCTTATCCTATAAAAAGTTTTGCACTGGGTAGTCACCTTGCTGGATATTTCTTTTTCCCAGGTTTGTGTGTATATTATGGATTTATAAAAAAGTTAACAATTTTACAGGTAGAGTAGAATCCGTCCATTTGGAACTGATGATATAGACAAAGAATTATAAAATGTTAATCCCAAAAGGGATCCTAGAGGTCATCTGTTTTAACCCCATTATTTTACAAATGAGGAAACTGAGGCTCAAAGGTTAAAAGATTTGCTCAGAGTCACATATCTAGTGTTTTCAGGCTCCCCACCTAGTACTCCTTCTGTTGTACCATACTTTTGGATCCTTATTTCCAAAATATTAGATGTCTTTAAAAATATTCATGTTTTGGGGGAAGCTAGGTGGTACAGTGGATAGAGCACTGACCCTGAAGTCAGGAGTACATGAGTTCAAATCCAGTCTCAGCCCAAACACTTGACACTTACTAGCTGTGTGACCCTGGGCAAGTCACTTAACCCCAGTTGCCTAAAAAATAAAAAAAAATAATTTTAAAAAATTCTTGTTTTCATTCCAATAGTTTAGTCCCCAAACTAACCTTCTTATTTCTGATCATTGTTATGTGTATTTTGTGTATTACTAATGACACTGAAGACAGCCTTCACAGAGCATAATAATTTAGAAAAAAATCATAATATATAGATAGTAAGGTTTTTGTAACCTGTCTTACAATGATGATTTTTATAGACTCAAAAACTAGGTCATGCTGCTTTCTGGTTCTTGTTAGAGAATCCCAAGGCACTGCCTTTTTTTTTTTCTTTCTTGATACCTGAAAGTGACCTTGTTTAACAATAACTCTGAAGTGCTCTCTGTAGACAACATTGTTGCCCTGTGGCCGTACATCGTGGGCTGAGCTTTCCTTATTCCTTCCTCTTTTATAGCTCAGTTTGAGACCAACAGTGGCAGAACTGCAAGCAAGAAGGATTCTTCGGTTTAATGAGTATGTCGAGGTCACTGATTCTCCTGACTATGACCGCCGAGCAGACAAGCCCTGGGCCAGACTAACACCTGCAGATAAGGCAAGAGTCACAGTAGATTTATCTCTGAATCTATTTTTCCTCTGAAAATATTAAACTATCCCTCCATATCCTCTTTAAATCTTTCCAAAAAAAGCTAAATGTCATCTGTTGTCCTGCCAATCAGTCTCATAAACATTTATGGTAGTTCTCCTCTTAATTCTGTACCAGCAGTTGCCAATACTATGGTGTCCACGGGATAAGGAGTGGACTTGAGAATTCACTGATCCAGGGAATTCTTCCATGAGCAAATTCTCTTTATCAGTGCAGGCATCCACCTTCCCTATGATCTAGGTCTTCCTGTATTCAAAGTTGGCTCTCTGTCCACTAGGTCAATCTGTTTCTCATACCATGCCCAAAATTTTGATAAAAATTTCTGTAGTATTATGGCTTTATCATCAAAATTTCCTATGAGTTGCATTCATCCAGTGTCTTAAATTAATCCATGACTGTAAAATTGATTTTTGGGGGGAGTCAGTATGTTTTGGCTTACTACAATTTCTGAAAGTAAATATTTTGCAAACAAAAATAGCTGAAGGCATTGGAACAGTATGAATAAGTGGGTTTTTCCCATATGTGCATAATCTTTAAACCTAGACATTCATCAATATGATATGGTCTCTTGGCCAATAGATCAACTTTGTAAGCTAAAGAGTCTACTGAATCACCTACAAAGGACCTCTAGATGTGTCTAAAGAAGTACAACTTTCCTTTATTATTTAACCTACCTTCATTTAAAGCTAAATGGCAAAGATTTGTACTAGAATTACCAACACATCATCCTATCCATACTACTGGGAAATAAAAATAAATTTGTCAACAGGAAAACCTGCTGATTAAATATTTTAGAACATATGCCACACATACAGGATTCATTGAGTAGCACCACTGATGCCAATTAATTACTGTGGCACTACACCAAAAGTGCTTCTTTTTGGCCATTTGTTTTCAGGGCCTCAATTTTTAGCATTTAAAGACATCTAAGACCAGTAAAGGACTTCAAATGATCCATGGGTTCCCTGGTATCACTGTTCCCTCTGTTGGTATGCATAGTAAAGCCTTCATCCCTTCTCATCTTGTCAGTGCTGTTCCATGAATCCTTCTCTGAGGTGCAGCTTCTTTCTTTAGTTCTTTATTTTGAGGGTGCTATGATCATAAGATAGATTTAGAACTTGAATGGAATTCAACTTCTGCTTTCTACAGGTGATGCAACTGATGCCTAGGTGAAGTGACTTCCCCAAGTAATGTAGGTAGCAAGCTGGAAAGCCAGTTTATCTCTTGACCCATCCATCAGTTATCCCACATGGTTACTATGTGACTGACCTTTCTTCTTTTATAGTGATGCAAGTTATTCTTGATATTGCTGTCCAGTGTTCCAGTGTAATCCAACCCGGAACGCAGTGGAGCCTGGGACTTCAAGCCAGAAGACCAGGATAAAATTCCTATTTCTGCTCCTTGCTACCTATGTAACGTGGTCATAGTATCTTACTTAGCTGAGTCTCATTTTCATCTGGAAAATGAAGAGATTGGGCAAACCCAAAGACATATCAGATTCAGTCTAAAAAAAAAGAAAGAAAGAAGAGATGCTAAGACTAAAAACATCAGAAGATACACTAAAGTGGTATCTATGAGTTGTGCCAGAAACAATACAGTAAATTCCTAATGGCAGAGTAGTTGGTTGATACAATCAGGAAATTTCAAGTCACATCAGTAAGCTTTTTTTAAGCATCTACTATGTCCTAGACACTGTGCTTAGAGCTAGATACACAAATAAAAGCAAAAAAAAATCCTTGCTCTCAAGAAGCTTACAATCTAATTGTAGAGACAACATGCAAAGAGCTATGTATAAACAAGATATAGACAGGGTAAGTTTGAGATCATCTCATAGGGAAGGCAAGAGGATTAATGTTGACTGGCAAAGACTTATTTCAAGAAAAAGGACTTTAACAGAGACTAGAAGGAAGCCAGGAGGTAGAGATGCTGAGGGAGACCATCCAGGTCTGGGGCGAACATCCAATGTTTGGAGTCTGGAGATAAGAGTGCAAGAAATAGCAAATAAGCCAGTGTCACTAGATCACAAGAGTATGTAGAGTGGAGGAAAGTGTAAGAAAACTGGAAAGGTCAGAAGGGACCAGGTTATGAAGGGTTTAAAAGCCAAACAGAGGGGTTTTGGGTTGTTTGTTTGCTTGTTTTGGTTCGGGTTTTGATCCTGGAGGCAATAGCAAGCTATTGGAATTGAATGAATGAAGCAGTGGGGAGGTGACATGGTGAGACTTGAGCTTTAAGGTCAGCTTGACAGATGAGTGGAAGAAGGACTCGAGCAGGGAGACAGTTAAGGCAGGAAAGCCAACCAGCAGACTTGTGTAGTCCAGTAGTAAGGTGATAAGGGCCTATACTAAGGTGGTGGCAGTGTCCAAGGAGAGAAGGGGGCATATGAGAGAGACATTATGAAAGTACAAACAGTAGGATTTGGCAACTGGCTGGATATGAGGGGTGAGAGAAATTGAGAAGTCAGGGATGACATCTTGGTTATGACCCAAGGTGAGTGGGAGGATAGTGGAAAAAGGAAGTTAGGAAGAGGGGAGAGTTTGAAAGGATAAGTAAAGAGTTGAGTTATGAACATGTTGAGTTTAAGATGACTACAAGACATCTAGTTCAAGATGTCCAGTAGGCATTTGGGAATGTGAGAATAGAATCAGGAGAAAAATTAGAACTAGTCAAATGGATGTGGGGATCTTCAGTAAAGAGATGATAATTGAATCCATGGGAGCTAATGAGATCACCAAGTGAAACAAAAGAGAGGGAGAAGAGGGCACAAGTCAGAGCATTGGTGGCTGCCCACAACTAATAAACTAAGCGTGGGTGAAGACCCATAGAAGTATCTAAGATGCAGCAGTCAAGACAGGTAGGCAGAGAGCTAGGAGTGAGTAGTGTCTCAAAAAATGTAGAGAGAAGAGACTATTAAGGGTACAAGAAATACGAAAATTAAGAAGAGGGAAGAGTTAGGGAAAAACTAATGAGCTCTGTTTTAGATACGTTGAACTTGAGATGCTAAGGGCCACCAAGATGGAGATTTTAAAGCAAACAGTGGGATGTGGGACCTGGAGCACAGAGGGCCAGGTATGGAGATTTGGGAGTTATCTGATGATCAATAGTGTCAAAGGGAGAAGAGGCATCAAGAAGGGTGAAGACTGAGAAAAGGCCATTAAATTGGGCAGTTAAGAGATCATTGATAACTTGGGGGAAACCAGTTTCAGTGGAATGATGAGGCCAGAAGCAATGAAGGAAGCATTGATTATACACCTATGTGCTAGGCTAGGTACTAAGGGCATTATAAACATATCACTTAATCCTTACAGCAACCCTGTGAGGTAAGTGTTATTATTACCCCCATTTTACAGTTAAGGAAACTGAGGCAACCAATAGTTAAGCAGCTTTCCAGCATTACACAGTTAATAAGAGTCTGAGGTCTGATTTGAATTCAGCTCTTCCTGACTACTGGCCCAGCACTCTATCCACTGGGCCACCTAGCTACCTCTAAGCTAGACCACAGAGAGTTAATACTGAACAAAGAAGTAATTAAGGCATCAATCACAGATGATCTTTCCAAGGAGGTTAGCCACAACATGATAGAGAGGTATAGGATGGTAGCTAGCAGGGTTGGATGGATCAAATGAGGGTTCTTTTGAAGATGGGGAATACATAAGTGTGGTTGTAGACATTAGGGAAGCACCCAGTAGATGGGTAAAAATTGAAGATTAGTGAAAGAGAAGGGATGCAATCCACTGGAGAAAATGAGATGGCATGATGTGTGTGTAGGTAGAGGGGTTTGCATTGGCAAGGCTGCCTCTTCAGGTGAGACAGGTAAAGGAGAAGTGAGGCAAGTATCTGAGCTATGTAAGATGAGGAAGAGGGATATATGCAAAATAAATACAAATATACAATACAAAATAAGGGAAGGACAGTTAAGAGAATCAGGAAAGGCCTGTTGAAGGAACTGGAATATGAAGAGAACCTTGAAGGGAGCTGTGGGGTTCCAGAGGAGAGGTGAGGAGAGAGAGCATTCCAAGCATGGGGAATAAATGCCTGTGCAAAATCACAGAGGTGACTGACGCTGTGTCCTGGGTGAATAGCACCAAAAGGACCAGTTTGGCTGGAGTGTAGAGTGCGTGGCAGGGAGTAATAGGTAACCATCCTGAAAAGCTGCTATGCAGCCAGATAGTAAAGGCGTTTGGATGCACAGTCAAAAACCCTCAGCCAGTAAATGCTCTCAACAGCAATAGGAAAATTAGGAAGAGGGAAGATTTGGGGCGAAACTAATGAGTTCTGCTTTAGACACATTGAATTTGAGATGCTAAGGGATGCCAAGATGGAAATTTTAAAGCAAGCAGTTGCAGATGTGGGACCTCGAGTACAGAGGGCCAGATATGTAGATTTGGGAGTTATCTGGGTGAAAAAAAGGAGCATCTGGACAATCTAATAATCCATATGATATTCTTCCTGTGTTTGGATTTCCTCCATAACACTGGCCAAAACTTGCAAGAAACATGTGTTTCTTCATTTTTATACCATGCTTTATATTGATACTTAGATCACTGAATAAACTTGTCTGTCATATCTTGCCCTTCCAGGCTTAGTTTTTGCTTCACCATGGAAAGTTTTTTGGTTACAAAAGACCGAAAAGTATATATGGTGTGTTGCACAAGACTGTCTGCAAAAGCCTGCCTATTTTCTTTTTTGCATGTTCATTAGTGATACCCTTGTATACATGGATTACAGCATTCTCACAAAGATTTTATAGAGATAAGGAAGTACACGAATGAATAGCTCATTGGTTCCTGTTGTCTTCTCTGTTGCATTTTGTACTAATACTGCCAATATTTTTTTCATTGTTGGAATCTTTACCTCTTGAGACACTTTGAAATTTGATCTGTGAATACCCTTAAAATTGTGTCACTTCCATCATGTTCTTCTAGTACATATGTTTGATCAGATTCAGCTGC